AGAGAATTAATGGGAAATCAAAGTAGTATAATCTTCTGTCCCTTAGGAAGGCTGGGCCAGAGATGACGGGGGACTGCAAGTAGAAAAGAAAAATATCCGCCGGTGCCATGTAGGTCTATGTGTGTCCTGATTTGCAACGGGTCCCAGTGGTTGGCAATAACAATAATAGCGTGTCCCTGGGTGCAGTGTATTCTTTGGGTGGACGAGTCGGAACCAAGAAGTCCAGACCTGCACTTGTAGATGGAACCGGCAGATAACAGTCCTTATGCTTTGGTGACAGAATCATTGATGGAAATGTCAGATCCTTCCTACACACTTTACCCTGCAATCTAGGAGGTTTTAGCGGAGCCAGTTTCTTGGGGTCTGCATGTGAAGGCACCTGACTTCGATGGGCTCAGGGAAGGACCATGTCTCCTATGGATAGACCTCAATGGGGATCTGCCCTTGTGCCCATAACAGTGTCCCTTACTCTCATGGGAAGACCTGAAGGGTCTTTGGGCTTAGAAACCAAAAGCTCCGCTCCTACTCATGTCTCCCTGGCCCAGACTGGAAAGGGGCCTCATGGCCTTCTCCATCAAGTGTTTCCTAAAGTGAAGCTCATAGGCTCTACAAGCCATAGGTGGAAACAAGTGACAAGTACTGCACTTTGCAGAAATGTGTGTCTCACTCAGACAGTAGAGACAGTGTTGCTGTTTATCAGTAACAGAGAAGGATCTAGGGCAGAAGACGCAGTTTTTGAAGCCCAGGACTCTGGGCATAGTCCCAGATTGTGGGGCGGGAATCCCCAGTCTGGGAAAGAAGCTACACTAAAACTATAACTTTACTAAATCTAGGAAGAATAACTATTTACAATTTTATTTACAGGTTCTTTGAAAAACTGAAGCGAGGACTACGGATTCTGCCTCAAGCCATGCAGTGGTAACAAGGAACTGGGGGGCACTGACCCACACGCTTCTTATACCCTCACTCGGGAGCACAAGGAGACCTACTGCACATGTGCAGGGCAACAGACACAGCTCGTTAAAATCTCTGGACTTGGGCGCATGGTACGCATGCATACCCACGTGTGGAATTCACATAGGGACCAGCACTAGAAGAAAAAGTATCGGCATTCATCATAAATAATTTTCTAGGAACAGTGAAAGAAGGCTAAGAATAAGCAACTTAGAAGCCTTCAAGCAACTTAGAAGCCTTCAAGCCTTTTTAGATAACTTCTGGGAGGAAAGGTTAGTCTCCTGGTAAGATTTAGCAGCCAAGGAGGACTCATTGTTTGTGTCAAGAACTTCATAGGTAAGAGTAAAGGAAGGGGCCTGTTGAGATCACTTCCCTCAATGAAGTATTGAAGCACCTCTTCCAGGTCTGACTTAGGGAAAGCCTCTCTTCCTAACAGACCTCTTCTTCTCCCCCTTTGTGATAACTTTGTGCAGGCTGTTTTTTCCAGCCCCAGAGTCTGCATCAATCACTTTATTAGTTTGCTGTTACTTCAGCAAATGTCTCTACCCTCTTGGGTGAGCTTTCATCCCCCTTTAAGGAAGCTGACTAGCTGACTAATTTTGTTTGTCACAGCTCCTGAACTTGCTTTAGCCACTGCCTAGCTGAAGTAGTGGGAGATTCTGTCAAAGAAGGAAGGAAAAAACATTACTATAAGGATATGTTTTTTCCCCCCTTTTTCTTTTTCATTCTCCGGTTGGGAGACAAATAGAACAAGATGCAGATATAGAAGTTGCCTTTTTGCATAATACTCTGGGTGAAGCAGCTAAAAAACTGAAGAAACAGAAGAGGTGAAAAAATCCTGGATGGTGATTGGTCATAATCCTGCCTGCCAGAAGAAGTGAGGAGAAACTTGGCATTTGATATAATAGCCTGGAGCAGCATTTCTGCTGAACATCAGGGAGAAATGTGGAGGGTACTAGAAAATGCAAGAAAGTATTTAGAACAGTCCTAAATTGAACAAGGCCACGTGTCAATTAAAAAAATAAAATAAAAAAATCATACATTTAGGAGATAAATTGACCACAAAGCTTGAAGTTTCTAAGATTTATGCAACACTGACATACAGAGACCCAAAAATGTAATAAAAATAAATAAATCCAAGACCACAATGCATGTTGAATTATGTCAGTAAATTCACACCCACCTATGTAGTTAGAATAACTCACCTCACTTCACGAAGATAAAAAATTGAGTTAGCTGCCAGAGCATGAAAGAATTCAAGAATTTGAAGAAAGTATTGATATCAACTCTAATTCAGCAATTGTTTGACCCACCAAAAGAGCACCTTCAAAAGGAACCTGGGAGCTCTACTACTTAGGATGACCAGACAGCAAATGTGAAAAATCGGGACGGGGGTGGGGGCTAATAGGAGCCTATATAAGAAAAAGACCCAAAAATCGGGACTGGCCCTATAAAATCGGGACACCTGGTCACCCTACTACTACTACAGAGGCATGACAATGAATGGCTGTCAATAAAATAGGCTGCAAGAGCTATGACAGCAGCAGAAAAACATACAAGAGGAAACCAAAAGAGAGAAATATTTGGGCTTTTTATATGGCTGTACAAAGTTCACAATTTTCTGTACAACTGTAGCTGAAAAGCTGAAATTGACCTTAACCCACTGAATACAACACACAAGAAAGTACTTTGAGAAGAATATAGAAGTTACTTCTGTGTATATGTCTACAATGGAATAAAACACCCGCAGCTGGCCCATGGCAGCTGACTTGGGCTCATAAGGCTCAGGCTGCAGGACTATAAAATTGCAGTGTAGATGTTGGTACTCAGGCTGGAGCCCAGCATTTGTGACCTGCTCCAGCCCGAGCCCCAACATCTACACTGCAATTTTTAGCCCTGCAGCCCAAACCTGAGTCAGCTGACACGGGCCAGCTGCAGGTGTTTTATTGCAGTGTAGACAGACCATGAAAGTACAAAAGTATAGTTTAATCCTGTAGTTCTAGACAGGACATCATCTAGTAATTGCAGACTGTCAAGAGCATATGTTCTCTTTGCCACCTCCCAAATAGATGCCATCAAAAGCATATGTTCTCTTTGCTACCTCCCAAATAGTTGATCTAGAATAAGCAGTTACCAGTTCATATGAACCCGATAAAAGCACCACGTGCCCTTTTGCCACAAATAAAAGATTAGCAGGAAAAAGAAACGGCTAAGGATGAAACAATACAAGCAGTAATACATGCTCTAAGTACTGGATGGAGTCAACACTTCCCCACATGCATATTCACCATATAAAAATGAACCTCTCATTGATTTTGGGAGTACTCATGAAATGTACAAAAACAATAATTTCCATAGTCATAAGAAGAAAAATACTGGAAAGAATATGGACCTGATTCTCATTTATATGAGGGCCCCTTTAAAAAGTACATTTACTCCCACTCCCAGTGCGTTGTAAAGGGACCTTATTGTACATGAGAATTAAATCCCACACCAAAAACTCCTTGGAATGATTAATTAAAAAAAAAAGAGCAGAAGTAATATTCTGGCCACATATAAACAGTGATATGGATGAAATAATAAGCAAGTGTGGAACCTGCCTGAAATACAGAGATACACAATGGGAAAGAAACATGACACCACATGAACAACCTACAATACTCGAAGGCAAAGTCGGAATGGATTTGTTTGCCCACCAGACATGATCACCTGATCATAATGGACTATTTTAACCACTTTCTAGATTGATACTTCAAGATACCACAGCTTCAACTGTGATCACTAAGTCTGTATTTGCATGTTATGGAATTTCAAGGACTGCAATGGACCACAGTTCAAGAATACAGAATTAATAGATCTGGCTAAAACTTATGAAATTCAGTACATCATCTAGTTCTTGATACCCACAAGAAAACAGATTTGAAGAATGTGGATTCTGTAGAGTGAAGGGAAAAAGGCAATTTATTAAGCACTACTCAATTATAGAGCAACACAGTTGCAATGTGAAAAATCACGAGAAGCACAAAAAAGTGTAATGGATCGACTGTGTTTCAGACTATTTCAAAGAGAGTGAACAGACTGTTTAAGACATAGACATGCCTAAAACCCCCAATACTGCAGATACAGAAAAGTGCTGAAGATTAATTAGATTGGCTGATATTGTAAAAACAACATTAAAAATGTTAAGTTAAATCACTGTTAGAATTTGTTCAGTTAGAGAATATGGTGATTTTTTTTAAAAAGAGAAGGTGTGTCCTAAAGAGCTAAAACTGTAGCAGGAAGTTGCTACACATTCTGTAGGACTCTATGCAGCTGTGGTCAAGTGAAAAATTCTCTAAGTTATTCCTGTCTCCCACACAGCACCAAGAAGCAGCTGCAGAGACTCAGGCAGCAAGATTAGATTACAGCAGCATCAGTCCTGTATTTATTTTGTATGTAATCTCCTGTTGTTAGGTAAATAAATAAGTTATTTTAAAGCCTGTTTCAGACATCATTAACATACTACATTCGTCACAATTATGTCATCCTTGAAAGTGCCCTGTGTGTGAATTTTCAATTAAAAGACTGTCTACCATTGAGCAAAACAGTAATGTAATAGGACAGGGTTGTGTACATTATCAGCAAAGCAGCAGAAATTCAATATTTTGCAGGGTACATCACAAATTACAAAAAGATTAATTAAAAGTTCAAATATCAGTTGTTTCTGCCAACGGATAGTTCAATTTTCTTTATAAACATGAATCTGATACTGTTAAATCTCTGGAAAAAGTTCCTTAAATGTTTTCTCTAATGTATTTTTGTTGTTATTCCTAGATCAATGTTTTCATTCTAGTTACTAATCCAGTTAATAATTTACCGATTCTGAAAGAATTTGTACTGGTCTGTCAACTAATCATCTTTGCAACAGTCTTTTCTACCATGATTCTGGCAAATGAAAAGTTGGAAAACTTATTTAGTCCAGAAAACAGATCTTCTAAAAGTTTACAGTGAAGTTAATGATGAACTTTGACACACTATTATAATTACTGCTTCTTTCTGGTACCTACCAATTTTTTCTAGCTGTTTGGATACATGCAGAGAGTTTTCCCACAGTTTGCACCTGAAACACTTAGCTAAAATCAAAGAGTTTAATAATGCAGGGAAATTGTTTTTACGTGATGCCAGAAAGTCAGATAACCCTACAAAAGAAAAAATATATTTAATAATATAATACAGTTTATTATTAAATATATCAAAATGCATTAAATTTTAACATACATTTAGTAACTCTTATGCCATGCCTGAAAATTTTGCCTATATCTTGTGTCAAAGTGAAGTCTTGAATAGGAATGCATCCTAATTGAGCCTGAATAAGACTGAAAAAGAAATATTTCTTAGTATATAAACAATATTAGTAAACAAAATATAATAAACAAGAGTCAAAGACTCCATTGAAAAACAAAGGCAAGTTCAAGATAAAAGCAACATTGTTTGGCATCTAAAGGCATGAGCCTGCACACAATGAAGTCAACAGGAGTTTGGATCAGGGCTTTTAATTTTCAAGCCAATGAGATAAGACAAAATATTTACCAGTTTACTTTCATTTCTCTTGTTTTTATCTTCCCTTCCATTGGAAACCTGTATAATAAAACATACTGATTTTTTGCTATTCACTTTAACTAAAAATTATACTTTCTTTCTGAACATTAATTCATTGATTTTTTTGTACCTGATAGTTATCCTGTTCTTGTCTTTATTCAAAGTGTTCAATATTTTCTTCTCATTTATTCTTAACTTGACATCTGAAAATTCAACGCAGCCGGATATCATTGTGATCTGTAACAATTTAACATTGTTTAACAGATCCTGTTTTCATGCAATTGTTGTTAGTAGTAAGATATAATGGAAGTAACAGCACAAGACAATATAGTATGTTATATATAATCAGAATTGCTTCAGAATTCCTTCATTCAGAAGGGTAAGATGACTCAGTGCTACGTAACTGAGAAGAATAAAAGATGGGACAATTGGAAGATCTCAGAGACTAAAACCCTTGAAAAAAATCATACTGCATACATCTTATACATCTTGAACTTCATAATTCTTTGGTGTAAGGAAAAACAATATAAACTGTCTTCAATTCTGTTTTAAACTTACAGATGTATATATAGATATAGATATATATTCTTAGGAAAATTATATTACCAGTTCAGATAAAGTTTCTGTTCCATTAATTGTGGAAAACTGTTTCACTGTATCAAATGCAATATAGTACCAAGCCATTAGTTTTCCAGTCTCTGTAGATGAAGATTAAAAATATTTAGTGCATTTTTTAAAGAGAGAGGTGTAGGGTACTTGCTTCTTCTAAGCAACAGAACTGCATTTTTATTTTCCTTATACTATTATACATAGATCACTGTCACCAGGCCATCTTTTGATCTGCAGCAGAATTTCCAGTGATTTAATAGGAGGATTTGCACAGGGATCCAGATCAGTATATGGTCCTAAGAATACAACTTCTATCATTTGCTAAATTAAATTCAGCTCAGATAATAGAATACGGAATATGTTCATTATGGGCCAAATTCTGCCCTCAGCTACATCTGTAGAACTCCACTGGAGGTACACAGATGTACCTGAGCACAACCTTTCTCCTGAATGGTTTTCTGTTCACTGCACAATCGCTGTGCCCCTTAGTATGTCTTATGATAAATGCATATCAAGAATAATGTTTAAACCTTATAAAAATATTTTAAAAATATGTTTTCAACACTATAGTCTAAATTATATTATGAAGTAAATGTTACCTGTAGGTTTGAAATTAAATTCTTCATCCATCTTGATCAAATCAAGAGATGACAAATCATTCAAATTCTTCAAACACAATTCTGTCCAGAGTTTGAAAAGAGAAATTAATCTTTCGAACATGCAGGAAAAAGATACAATATTTTTGTATATACTAAGGAAAAGATTATGGTCTAAGTTACATCAGTGTAAAGCCAGAGTAAGTCCACTTAACTCAACAGAAGGCCTAAACACACGATCCTTTTCCCATTGAAGTCAGTGGCAAAAATTCTTACTAAATTCACTGGGGCAGGCTCAAGCTCAACTATACATTCAACGAAAACCAACCAACCAACCTCACTTTAAAATTGTAGAAAGTGTGAAAGAAACTAGATGTGAGAAGTTTAAAATGTCAGCTTAAGCTCTGAAAAGGTTGAGAGTCCACTAGTAATCATCCAACACAATACAATATTTTCACTAATTTTTAACGACATAGCAAGGCATGGCTATTCAAATGCACGTGTGATTGAGTTTTTAATGGTATATGTACATTATAGTAACTGTGCCTGCATTTATTTCAATGGTTACAAATTCAAATAAACCTATGTAGTCACTAGCAGTGGATATTTGAATGATGATGATGATCAAAGTGTTTCCTTTGTTCTTATCTCTTTCGAAACCAAGAAAATTAAGTGCAAAAATGACATTAATACAATGTTGAGATTTTTCAATGCAAATATGTCAAGAAACTCAACGTTGTAGTTCCCATAGCAACCACAAATCATCCACATTGCATACACACAATATATATACATATACATACACATATATATATATATAAAGATAATTATAATTAACAGAATATACATTACTACAAAATACTGCATATGTGCAAGAGGGCTGAGTTACAATATCTGTTAGAATAATAAAGTTGAATTTCCAGATTTGTGCGGTTAAAATCTTGGCAAGTAATGTTCTATTACCATACCTTTTTGCATTTCATATAATTCTTATATTGGAGACAGTATGAAAGAAAGCATAGCATATTTGTTTTTATCATTTAAAGATGGGAGGGGCTGACCCCTAAACTGTTGAGTTTCATCTGGGAAATTTGATGGTATTGTCATAAATTGAGAAGTAATTTTAATATTTAAAGAGCCTTAAAGTAAATAATTATTTTATGTTCAAGCCATAACAAAATCGTCTTCTTAAAAATTCTTTAAGTAATAGTTAAAGACTATTCTATAAAAACCTGAGAACTGAAGAATATAATTGATCTTTTTGTATTTGCAAAGTCAGATGCTACATGTCCGTTTTAACAATACAGCATACAAGGGGTCCCTTAATTGCTTGATTGAATTATCTTATCTTACTTCTTGGCATTGCTTTATCTATTTGCTATATGAATAAATGTATAACCAAGCTTAGAACAACTTTAGCATAGCAAAATAATTCTTAGAAGACCTAATAAATCAAATAGATTTGAGATATGACTAAATAAGTTATGGAGCACTTTATGCATACAAATCTTGCAAGATGTGTAAGATTTCTCCTGGCATACCTAAACAGAATGAATAAATCAAGCAATAAATGCTAAATCTTTAGCAATAGAGCAGAATATGCATTGAAGGGCTTTGCTCCATGTCAAAAATCTCATGGTCCTGGGGAATGGAATCCTCAGTCTAAACCAGCCAGACTGTATACATAGCCAAATCACAACCAGGGGCGGCTCCAGGCACCAGCGCAGCAAGCGCGTGCCTGGGGCAGCAAGCCGTGGGGGGCGGCGTGCCGGTCGCCGTGAGGGCGGTAGTCAGGCAGCCTTCGGTGGCATGCCTGCGGGAGGTCCGCTGGTCCTGCAGTTTTGGCGGCAATTCGGCGGCGGGTACAGCGAAGGCGCGGGACCGGCAGATCACCCACAGAAACACCGCCAAAGGCCACCTGACTGCCGTGCTTGGGGCGGCAAAAAACATAGAGCCGCCCCTGATCACAGCCACCAATATAGGTAACATGAAAGAATAGCATATAAGGCCCTCCTATAGCTCACTGGATACACTCCCACTGGCCATAAAATACCATGCCCTCGACCTGTACAAAATTCTCCTCCCACCTTCCTCAGGGAGTTATGAGTCCTGATGCAAAGTTTTCTATAATACAAGGCAGTATGAAGTTCCCCCGCACATAGTCTCTACTACTGCTGCCCCATGTGCATCAAGCATGCAGTTTTTAAATTGCTTTTGGGCAAGCTGCAGGTATTTAAGTTTTGTGGAAAGAGGAAATCTGATATTAAATTTCTGTAGAGCAAATTTTGAAGGAATGTGAAAAGAAATTAAATCAAATGACAAATCAATGGAGGGAAAGGAAGGAAAATGAAAAGCATTCAAAATGAAATGACTCTTACTGTATGCAAAATTTGATTTATGAGTAGGATATACAAGAAGCAGTATACCTGTGCATGTGGGCAACAACTTGGGAAGAGGAGTATTTATTGTTTCTCCATATTATGAAATCTGTTTTTTCGTAAAAGAATCATATTTGGAAAGTCCAGTATTTACAATATGGAATAGCATGTAAGTTAAATGAAAGTAATAGTAAAAAGCGACAAAGAGTCCTGTGGCACCTTATAGACTAACAGACGTCTGTTAGTCTATAAGGTGCTACAGGACTCTTTGTCGCTTTTTACAGATTCAGACTAACATGGCTACCCCTCTGATACTTGAAAGTAATAGTGTTGCTTTAACAATTCACAAAAGGCTAGATTCAGCCAATCTTAATCACACTGAATAGTATCTTGCTCCATCAGTAGTTCCACGGAAATGAATGGAGCTACTCAGATATGGTGGAAGTATCTGGCCCAAAATGTCATGTTGTACTCAGAAAGGTGAAAAGGCACTGACCTTGTAATTTTGCTTCAATTCCAACTGTGTCTAGTCCAGGCGAAAAACCTGCAGGAAAAGGAAAAAAGGCCTTTTAAATTAATACAATCATGCATTTAATTTTCAACATTACTGTCTACCAAAACAATTTACTGACTGTAAAAAATGTCAATTTCAGTACAATGGTTGTACCTTTCATACTAATTGACACTTAAAATGGAGGCACGAAGTGGGTGAGGTAATATCTTTTATTGGACCAACTTCTGCATATATATGAAAAATATATGAAATAGTATCCATTTTAAGTTTGCAGTTGTGTTGGTCCTAGATATGAGAGAGAAGGTGGATGAGATAATATATTTTATTGGCTCGACTTCTGCTGGTAGAGAGGACAAGCTTTTGAGCTTCACAGAGATCTTCCTTATTCAGGTCAGGAAATGGTAACCAGAGTGTCACAGCTACATACAAGGCTGGACAGATTGTTCAGATTAATGTTGTAGGAGACCACTTCAAATGAAGATGGCAATGAACACCTCACCAGTTTTAGGACAAAGTGGGGTTAGTAGGCAGCAGAGTGCATTAAAAATTGTAATGAGCCATAAAACCATGCCTTTGTTAAGTCCATGATTTTTAGCGTCCAGCAGAGTTATGAATTAAAATTTTCAGGCTCATCTTTTGAAGGTGTTGTGCAGGTTTCCTTTGATGATGAGGCCTGAGGGGTCAGATACAGAGTGTTCACTTAAGTGTTTGCTCACATGTGATAGGGTGTTTTTGTCTTTTATAATTTTTCTTTGAGAGTTCATTTGAGAGCAAAGTGACATTTCATCTCGGGAGGTATGCTGCCTGCCGGGAGCCCGTATCCGAGACGTTACGGAGGCATTGTCGAGGATTATCCAGCCCTCTGACTACTACCTCATGCTACTCATCCATGTGGGCACAAATGATACTGCGCGGTATGGCACTGAGCGGATCAAGAGTGACTACAGGGCTCTGGGAGTACGGGTGAAGGAGTTTGGAGCGCAGGTGGTATTCTCTTCAATTCTTCCTGTCAAAGGTAGGGGCCCGGGCAGAAACAGATGCATCATGGAGGTGAATGCCTGGCTGCGAAGATGGTGTCGCCAGGAGGGCTTTGGCTTCCTAGACCATGGGATGCTATTTGAGGAAGGACTGCTAGGCAGAGATGGCGTTCACCTTTCGAGGAGGGGAAAGACCCTATTTGGACACAGACTGGCTAACCTAGTGAGGAGGGCTTTAAACTAGGTTCGACGGGGACAGGTGAGCAAAGCCCGCAGGTAAGTGGGGAACATGGAGACCTGGGAGATGGGTCGGAAACAAGAGGGAGTGTGGGCTATATTGGCAGAGAGAAAGGAGGGTCAGGACAAAACTGGGAGGAAAGATCAAACCAGTATCTTAGATGCCTATATACAAATGCGAGAAGTATGGGTAATAAGCAGGAAGAACTGGAAGTGCCAATAAATAAATACAACTATGACATTGTTGGCATCACTGAAACTTGGTGGGATAATACACATGATTGGAATGTTGGTGTGGATGGATACAGCTTGCTCAGGAAGGACAGACGGGGGGAAAAGGGAGGAGGTGTTGCCTTATATATTAAAAATGTACACACTTGGACTGAGGTAGAGATGGACATAGGAGATGGAAGTGTTGAGAGTCTCTGGGTTAGGCTAAAAGGGGTAAAAAACAAGGGTGATGTCATGCTAGGAGTCTACTACAGGCCACCTAACCAGGTGGAAGAGGTGGATGAGGCTTTTTTTAAACAACTAACAAAATCATCCAAAGCCCAAGATTTGGTGGTGATGGGGGACTTCAACTATCCGGATATATGTTGGGAAAATAACACAGCGGGGCACAGACTATCCAACAAATTCTTGGACTGCATTGCAGACAACTTTTTATTTCAGAAGGTTGAAAAAGCTACTGGGGGGAAGCTGTTCTAGACTTGATTTTAACAAATAGGGAGGAACTCGTTGAGAATTTGAAAGTAGAAGGCAGCTTGGGAGAAAGTGATCATGAAATCATAGAGTTTGCAATTCTAAGGAAGGGTAGAAGGGAGAACAGCAAAATAGAGACAATGGATTTCAGGAAGGCAGATTTTGGTAAGCTCAGAGAGCTGATAGGTAAGGTCCCATGGGAATCAAGACTGAGGGGAAAAACAACTGAGGAGAGTTGGCAGTTTTTCAAAGGGACACTATTAAGGGCCCAAAAGCAAGCTATTCCGCTGGTTAGGAAAGATAGAAAATGTGGCAAAAGACCACCTTGGCTTAACCACGAGATCTTGCATGATCTAAAAAATAAAAAGGAGTCATATAAAAAATGGAAACTAGGACAGATTACAAAGGATGAATATAGGCAAACAACACAGGAATGCAGGGGCAAGATTAGAAAGGCAAAGGCACAAAATGAGCTCAAACTAGCTACGGGAATAAAGGGAAACAAGAAGACTTTTTATCAATACATTAGAAGCAAGAGGAAGACCAAAGAACAAATCATGTCAAACCAATCTGATAGCTTTCTTTGATAGGATAACGAGTCTTGTGGATAAGGGAGAAGCTGTGGATGTGGTATACCTAGACTTTAGTAAGGCATTTGATACGGTCTCGCATGATATTCTTATCGATAAACTAGGCAAATACAATTTAGATGGGGCTACTATAAGGGGGGTGCATAACTGGCTGGATAACTGTACTCAGAGAGTTGTTATTAATGGTTCCCAATCCTGCTGGAAAGGCATAACGAGTGGGGTTCCGCAGGGGTCTGTTTTGGGACCGGCTCTGTTCAATATCTTCATTAATGACTTAGATATTGGCATAGAAAGTACGCTTATTAAGTTTGCGGATGATACCAAACTGGGAGGGATTGCAACTGCTTTGGAGGACAGGGTCATAATTCAAAATGATCTGGACAAATTGGAGAAATGGTCTGAGTTAAACAGGATGAAGTTTAACAAAGACAAATGCAAAGTGCTCCACTTAGGAAGAAAAAAATCAGTTTCACACATACAGAATGGGAAGAGACTGTCTAGGAAGGAGTACGGCAGAAAGGGATCTTGGGGTTATAGTGGACCACAAGCTAAATATGAGTCAACAGTGTGATGCTGTTGCAAAAAAAGCAAACGTGATTCTGGGATGTATTAACAGGTGTGTTGTGAGCAAGACACGAGAAGTCATTCTTCCGCTCTACTCTGCTCTGGTTAGGCCTCAGCTGGAGTATTGTGTCCAGTTCTGGGCACCGCATTTCAAGAAAGATGTGGAGAAATTGGAAAGGGTCCAGAGAAGAGCAACAAGAATGATTAAAGGTCTTGAGAACATGACCTATGAAGGAAGGTTGAAGGAATTGGGTTTGTTTAGTTTGGAAAAGAGAAGACAGAGGGGACATGATAGCAGTTTTCAGGTATCTAAAAGGGTGTCATAAGGAAGAGGGAGAAAACTTGTTCACCTTAGCCTCTAAGGATAGAGCAAGAAGCAATGGGCTTAAACTGCAGCAAGGGAGGTCTAGGTTGGACATTAGGAAAAAGTTCCTAACTGTCAGGGTGGTTAAACACTGGAATAAATTGCCTAGGGAGGTTGTGGAATCTCCATCTCTGGAGATATTTAAGAGTAGGTTAGATAAATGTCTATCAGGGATGGTCTAGACAGTATTCGGTCCTGCCATGCGGGCAGGGAACTGGACTCGATGACCTCTCGAGGTCCCTTCCAGTCCTAGAATCTATGAATCTATGATTGGCTGGTTTCACTCACATAGTTGTTGTTGGGGCATTTGATAAACTGGATCAGGTACACCACATATTGTGATAAATAAATAAATAAAATAAATATATGGAGATATACCTATCTCATAGAGCTGGAAAGGACCCCAAAAGGTCATTGAGTCCAGCCCCCTGCCTTCACTAGCAGGACCAAGTACTTGATTTTTTGCCCCAGATCCCTAAGTGGCCCCCTCAAGGATTGAACTCACAACCCTGGGTTTAGCAGGCCAATGCTCAAACCACTGAGATATCCCTTATGTGTAGAGCCAATTGATCTTGAAAGTTGTATTGGGGGAATATTGATCATCACAGCCGTGGCGTTGCGACTGCAGGTTTTGCATCTGTTGTTCTGGTAGGGTCTGGCGCTGCTTTCAGGTGGTGTTTCCTGGACTGCGGGGAGCTTGCTTCTGATGATGAGCTTGATGAGGTTGGATGGGTGTTTGAAGGCCAGAAGTGGGGTTTGGGAAAGATTTCTTTCAGGATGTGGTCCTCATAAAGTATGTAGTGTTCCATTTTTGAAGCTGATCATGGTGTATTCGAATGGAACAGTGCATCTAGTTGTGTCACGCCTGCCACTCAAAAGTATCTCACTGCATCCAAACAGGTTATTTCTGAATCCTGGAACAATGGAGGAGCCAGGCTTTGAAGGGGAGCATCTCTGGATTGGGATGGAGGATACATCCTGTGAAAGGAGCTGTGGTATTGGACACAGAGCGATCGGTTGGCATTCTATCATGTGAAGGAGATAAATATACCAAACCTGTTGTTGCCAAGTTGGAGCTATAAGAATGATGTGAGCTCGGTCCTCCTGTATATTGTGAAGTATCTGGAATAAGAGGGGAAATGGAGAGAAGGCACAGAGGAGTGCTGTACTCTATGCGATAAAGAATGCATCTCCCAGCGATCCGTGTCCCAGTCCTGCTCTGGAACAGAATTGAGGGCAATGGGTGTTTTGCGGTGTAGCAAAAAGATCTATGATAGGACATCCCCATCAATTGTAGTTGGGCTGAAGGGCTTGCATATCTAGTTGCCACTCGTGATCCTGGAAGAATCTCTGGCTCAATGTGTCCGCAGTGGTATTCTGGTATCCAGGGAGGTATGCTGCTGAAATGGTGATGTTGTGCTGGATACACCAGTTCCACAATTTGAGTGCCTCTGAGCATAAAGAGTAGGAACATGCTCCGCCTTGCCTGTTGATGTAAAACATACAGGCGAGATTGTTTGTCATGACTCTGATGGTGTGACGTTCAAGGAGAGGGAGGAAATGTCGTCAGGCATTGCGGACCACTCGTAGTTCTAGGAGGTTGATGTGTACAGTGGATTTGGTTAACGACCATCTGCCCTGCACTGTGTGATTAGGGGACACAACTGATTAGGGAGGAATCTGTTGTTAGAATCATGGTCGGTGGTGGTTGGAGGAAACGAACTCCAACACAGACATTGTAGGGCTGAGTCCACCAAAGCAGTGAGTCCTTGACTCTTATTTGCATGGATAAGAGTTTGTGGAGGCTGTGTTTGTTGGGGTGATATATTGTATGGAGCCATGCCTGAAGACATCACATGTGTAGTTTTGCATGCCTGATCATGAAAGTGGCCTCTGCCATGTGGCCTAGAAGTTGGAGGCATGTCCTGGCAGAGATCTGGGGGCAGACCCCACACATTGGATATCAGATCTAGTATGACCAAGAATCTGTGAGGCGGTAGAAAGGCTCTGGCTTGTATGGTGTCCAATTATGTGTCGATGAATTCCAGGTGTTGTACTGGCATTAAAGTGGAGTTTTCTAGGTTCATGAGGAGGCCTAGCTTTGTAAACAAGTTCATTGTTGTAGACGGCTCGGAGAATGTCGGTCTCAGCTGGGGTCTTGAGGAGACAGTTGTTCGAGTATGGAAAGATGATGATGCCTTGTTTCCTTAGGTAGGCTGCGATTACTGCCAGGACCTTGGAGAACACCAAAGGGGCAGTCGATAGTCCGAAAGGCAGTACCTTGTACTGGTAGTGGTTGTTGCCCATGATGAATTGGAAAAATCGTCCGTGGGCAGAGTGTATTGCGATATAAAAGTATGTGTCTTGGAGGTCACGGGCAGAGAACCTGTCCTCCTGTTCCAGTGCTGGGATAATAGTGGAGAGGTAGCCATCTTGAAGTGTTGCAATTTGACGAACTTGTTTAGATTGTGAAAGTCCAGGATGTGTCGCCAGCTGCCAGATTTCTTCTGGATGAGGAAATAATGGGAGTAGAAACCCTGTCCCCTGTGTTGGAAAGGGACCAGTTCTATGGCTTCCAGTTGCAGAAGATGATTTATTTCTCCCCCTAGAATGGGTTTGTGAGGGGGTCCCTGAAGAGGGACAGGAAGTGGGTGGTGGCAGGGTGGGACAGATATGAAGGGGATGGAGTATCCTTCCTTAATTATCTCTAGAACCCACCTGTCTGAGGTGATTAGTCTCCATGATGGGAGAAATAGAGCTTGTCAATCACCAAACTGGTGGGACCTCAAAGATGGTGGGAATGACTGGAAGAGGGGGACGCTTCTTGGGGCCTCGAGGCCTTTCAAAATTGTTGCTTCAGTGGAGGGGTGTGAGAGGTAACCCCCTGAGGAGTAGGTTGTTTACACTTGGAGGGAGGCCTTTGTTTTCAGCCCTGGGTGTCATAGTACCGTTGAGAAGTATATTGCGGTGATCAAGAGTAAGGGGGGAGGTGGTACTTTCCTGGATGTCTCTTCGGCACAGGCGTGTAAATGCCGAGAGTTTGGAGGGTAGCTAGGGAGTCTTTACAGGAGTGTAGGGAATCGTCTGTGTGCTCCAAGAATAGTTTTCGGCCCTAAAAAGTTAAGTCTTCCACAATGGTTTGTACCTCATTAGGAAAACCTGAGAGGTGGAGCCATGATGCATGCCTCATGACTACAGCAGTTGCAATGGATCAGGCAGCAGTGTCTACAGAGTCTAACAAGGCTTGTAGGGCTATACGGGCTAGAAGGTGTCCTTCCAATATTAGGGACTGGAATTGCTCTTTCTTGGCCTCTAGGAAGTCATGACAGAAATCCTCCAATTTGGAGTAGTTTAAGTAGCTAGCCATCAGAGCCTTGTAGGTATTCAAAACTGGAGCACAGCTGATGAATATGCCTTGTGTCCAAATAAGTTAGTCATTTCCAATCCCTGTCTGGATGACTAGCATGGGGTTAGTATTGACGGCCCCTCTCTCTTGCACCAAATTGACCACCAGAGAATTTGGGGTAGGGTGCAAGAATAGAAATTCAGCATCATTTGCTGGAAGGTAGTACTTTTTGTCGGCAGGTTTGCAAGTCGGAGGGATGGATGCTCGGGTCTGCCAGAGCCCTTTTGCAGAGTCTAGAAGAGCTTCATTGATCAGTAGTACAATCTTGAAGGAAGAGGATGTGTGGAGGATATCAAGCAGCTTATGATGCTAATCCTTGACTTCCTCCAAAGGAATCTGCAGGGGATCTGCAATCCTGCAGAATAAGTCTTGAAAATGTCTGAAGTCATCGGCCATAAACAAGAGCAAGGGTTCCTCAAAGTCATCGACACAGCTTCCTAGCAAAAAATTTCCTAGCTAGAATTTCCTAGCAAAAATTTCCTACAACAATATGCAGCTTTCCTCATTTCCCTCCTCCCAAAACGTTAAGAGCATTTCTTATGTGATGTTTCCATTTCCTACCAAACTAGGAAACAAAACACTGAAATCTGGGTGAACATAATTTATTTGGATTATGATAGTGCCAATGAGACAGGCATCTATTGTAATAGCCTTAACTAATAATGGCCTTGGTTTTGCAGGAGATTGTAATCTTCGTATTATTTTTATATAGCTTTTCACATAATAGTACAATGATATTAACAATATCCTAAAGTGTAAACAGACATATATATATGTATAAAGGAGTCAGGAGTACCTTACTAACAGCTGCTGAATGTCCAAACACTTATCACTTGAGAACATGTCAACCAAAAAGATTTAAATTTACCAATTATTTATTTTCTTTTTCAGTGCCACAAAGCAACTGTTCCACAATCACAATCATAGACATCCCATTTTGCTGAGCACCACAGAATGCCTTATGCTGATTGGGTCAGCAGCCTGTACGATCAGTGCTGAAGCAGAAAATCTGCCTTTGGGGGAAAAAGATAGATCTGTTTTTATTCAATATGAAGCAGTTTTCTGAATTTTAATATCCTCATTTTATCTTCTATAAAATAAGGATATTAAAAAGAAAAACCACTCAATATTAAATAAAAGTTGATTTACCTTTTCCTTGGAGGCACACTCAATACTCAGAGCTGAAAAGTAATGGTAATATGCCACCAGCTTTGTGTGTGCTGTGATGCCTCAACACAGTGGGAAGTTGGTAATCATAGGCTGAAATTTTGCAGACCTGTTAATGAAAAAGTAGTACAAGTTTAAAATATGTTGAAATGCCTGCTAATTATGTTAACACGGTTGAAATGCTTTTTCCTAAAGATGTTCCAGGTCACCTTTAACAACTTCATTGTCTTCAATCCCTATTGAAATGACAGTCCATAAAAGACAAGAGAAAACAAGTAACACTAATCTTTTTTATCATTTCTCACTAACAGAAAATTACTTGCCAAAAATGCAGGTAGTTTACTGTAACCTACTTTATCTTAGACATGACATATAATCCAGTATCATATTCTAGTCAATTTAAAAGCAACAAACCATAATGAACTGGATTTTTCAAAACTCTGATGTATAGGAAAGTTGATCGTATCCATTCCAAAGCTATTTTCACATCCGTGATAGTGTGCAACACTATTTCTGCATTTAAATGCTCAACAAGATGTTTGTGCAAACTAGTAAGGAACAAAAGGTAAATCAATTAGAAATATAATTAAATTAAGTAAATGTTAATCAACATTTTTTACAAACAATATTAAATTATATTTTACCATAAATAGTCCACCTACTGCTGCTGCTTTTTATTGTACTCAGTATAAAAAGGTAAAAAATACTTAAATGATGAAGAATTCAAGTTGTTTGTTATGGAATGGGCTCCAGTTAGCAAAAGAAACAGAGATTTTTGGTGTTGGCTGTTGGACATCACTGGCATCCAGGAAACAAAACTATCTATATTTACATGTTGCATTATATTCTTGATACTTTGGGAAATATCAAAGTTTAAGTCTTAACAAGATTTAGCTTATAAGATTTTCAATTTTAGCATTTAAATTCCACTGTAAGTCTGAATGTTCTTATTTTTAAATGTCTCTCACTCCCTGTAGGCCTTCCATCAATTGAGCATTATAGGCTAGCGTTTCCTGAATCTCTCTTGTGTCAAACTTCAAAGACATGGCCTGGGAGCTTTCTATGTTCTATTCTTGGTTTTTTGAATACTATCACCACATATCTACAACCAATTTCCTTTGATATGTTTAAGACAGAACTATAGACCTAATTCTCTTTTGTAGGTATCAGGTATGGGTAGTATTCCAGCTGATGAAAAATACATGGAGTTCAATCTCCAAACCCAGAAACTCATTCAGTGTCATACTGCTGTTTTCAAGGAACATGACTTATACTTTAGCAGGGATCTACGTATCTACAGGCAGACATTCCAAAACAGGGATAATTTAAGAACCTCCTTACCCCACACAAAACCAGGACGCTAGAATGGGAACATCATAGGTATTAGGAACAAGACTAATCACTTGAAATCAACAGAATTTATATACCAAAAGAACTGGTGAGAAGAACTCACCTCTAACATTAAGCTGCTGACAGTAACTGAAGTAACTGTGAAGCATCTCACACATCCACTGAGACAATAGGCAGCAGTATTTATGTCAGTGTTATGGTGTGGGAATAACCCATCAGCTCCTTAGGGTGGTATGGCCCTGTAGCCCAAGTCACCAGGGCACGCCTGGGCTTCAGGACCATAAGGCCTAGTGCCAGAAGTCTAAATAGCAGCCCTTTTCCCAGGGCAGCATGGCCCAATAGCTAGGGTCAGTAGGGCTACCCCAGGGTTCAGGATAGTAAGGCCTAGTGGCCAAAGTCTAAATAGCTGCCCTTCTTCTCAGGGCGGTATGGTCCAATGGCCAGAGTCAGTTGGGCTGTCCCAGGATTTAGGACAGCAAGGCTCACTAGCCAGAGTCTAAAAAGCTGCCATTTGGTTCAAGGCAGTGTGGCCCAGAGGCCAGAGTCTAAGCAGCTGCCCTTGGATTCAAGGCAGTACAGCTCGCTCCTTCGAGCGGTGACCTCATCGAGTGGTGGGTATGGTGCAGGATAAGGGGACTCAGGCCCAACCTACTCCACTGGGTCCCAACCCAGGGCCCCGAGGAACCGATTCTCCTGTGTTCAGGCTCGGTCTCTCTCTGCAGCCATTCCATTCCCTGCATCGCTTCCTACCCTCACTTCCAGCATTGGTAGCCTCCCAGCATCAGCAAACTCTTTTCTGTCATCCTCGGCGGTCAACTGGGTGTCTGCAGTGGCTTCAGCGCAGTCAGCCTCTGCAGCCTGGGGCTCCAGCAGCTTCCTGACAGGAGCCTGCAGCACACATCTGCTCTCCTCCTCAGTCGGCCCAGACTGAGTGGAACTGCTCCCTCTTATACTGCGATTCCAGTTGGAGCATGCCCAGCAGGGATGACAGGGTGCAGCTTCCTTGGCCCAGAGCCTGGGGTTAATCCCCTCTATCCCAGTGTGGGGTAGGTATACCCCATCACATATGGGAACACTGCAAAGTTCATCTTTTTTTCTTGGACTACTGGAAAGGGAATGGGCTCAGGATTGGAGTGTTTGGTAGATATCTATGATGTTTTAAATTTACAGGATAGATGCCCAAATTACAGAATTTATTTTTCTCAATTAAAAACTGATTCTTTAAAAAAAAAATACTACAAGAAAGCTTCTGTGATTTCTTTTTTGCACTATCTAAATATTGTTTGCTTTTCTTGTTGATTAGTATTCTCTCAGTCACTGAATAGATAAAATGAAGTTTCCACCTCTGGTGTACCTCTATATGATTTCCCCATAAACCTGTTTTTTTATAATCCGTGGGATGATAAGCCAAAAGAACAAGAAAATACATTCTGTTGGTTCTATCCAGCAGTATGCTTGTGGCAAAATTACTTGGTTACCTGCTTTCTATTGTATCTGCACCATTTAACAGCTGTACATATTTCTCTCTTGTACTTAACCTCGTCAAGATAACTGCTGTAGCTGTAGTGTCAAACTGAAAAAAAAGTACTTTAAGATTTAGCAGGAGACACCTAAAATATGCATTTCATATCTTTGGTAACAATTCAAAATGTATTTTAAAAATGTTATGTTTAACCTGTTGAGGAATGCCAAGGCATCAACAACTGAAAGACAAATCCATTTGCACATTGAACAGTACCTGAACTTTAAAAAAAAATAACTGTTTGCATTTGGGCTGGCGCTACTAACCTATTTGCTGTAACACGCATATACTATAGACAGTATTAGGATCAATGAAATTTTGCACAGTTAAACAATACTGTGCATACACAAAAGAGAATCCCACTTATCCTGTGGACAAATACGCATTTAGAAAAATCCATTAACCTCAGTCAAGTGATTTCCACATCCCGCCTCACCCAAGCTGCATGTCACCACCACAATCCTTCTGAATGAGAAGGACTGGAGAGAATTCACTTTGTAGTCGTTCAATGCACTCTGCAGTGCTGGACATTAGTCTTATGATTAGCGAGATTGTCAATTCTTCCCTCAAGTGGGAAGCAGCTCTTAAATGAATGATTATTAAACACAAGCTCAGAAAACCAATTCTTCACACTGATAATCTCATTAATTATTGCCAAATGTTAAAAAGCCTGGAAATGAACCGTTAAGAGATACACCAAGTTCCCTACTGACTTCATTACTCACTATCAAGTTACCACATGTACTCAGCACCCAACCTTCACTTTCCCTCTTGCTTTGTTCAGAATTGGAAATATAAAGCTAAATGTATATTGTTAATTTTTGTATGGGAATTTTCCAAGTTTTTTAATTTGGATCGGTGTATGTGGTACATATGAAAACAGCCCTGAATCAAATAACTCTTCCTGATTCAGTATAAGAATTTAAGCACATGCTTAAAGTTAGGCATATGCTTAAGTATCTTTCTGAATCAGGACCTCTAGCAGCAAAATCATGTATCTTTTTTTTAAATGGCCAAAGATAAGAAAGAAGAATTATTTATATGTACAGTAATCGAAGTTCTTAAAGAGGTCTTGTCCACATATATATTCCAGTTATCATTTATGTGTGCTCCAGGAGCTTGAAACCGGAGTCTTTTGTCCAACAGTGTCCATTGGGAGGCACACAAGCCCAAAGTGTTCTCATGCCCCTTACCAACAGCATACAGGGCAGAGCAAGCCAACCACCACAGAATTCCAGCTGTACAGGACTCCATAGCACAAGGGAAGGAAGCTGGATTGTGGAATATACTAATGGCCAAATTCTCAAAGAAGTGAAGGTTACTTGTAACTAGAGTTCTTTGAGATGGCTCCGCTTATTCACACTTATGGGTATTGCGCCTCCTAGTGGTGCCTAATAGTAGAACCTTCTCCAAGCAGTGTCTGTTAGAATGCTCACGCAACCTTTCCTACTACTCCTCTCCGCATTTCTTAATATTCTGAGGATGAGGCTATAGAAGAGGCTGCAGCGCCCTCTACCACCTGTGTTCCTTCCGCCACCATCCCAGAGATACAGAACAATAGGACCCTAAGAAAGAGCAGAAGACAGGAAGAAAATGTGAATATGCAGAGCCATTTCAAAGAATTCCAGTTACAAGTAAGTAACCTTCATTTCTTGTTTGAATGGCTCTGTGTATTCCCACTCACGGGTAGTTTTATAAACAGTACTGAAAATAACCTAAAGGAGAGAACAGAGTAATAACTGAATAGTGACTGAAGCACTGCTGTGACATCTAATGTCTGCCCTGGAAGCCAAATTGAGAGAATAATGTTTACTAAATGTGTGAACATAAAAAATGGTTACTAACCTTTCCACAACTGCTGTTCTTAGAGATGTGTTGCTCATGTCCATTCCAATGTAGGTAGGCATGTGCTCACTCTGAGCATAGCCACTGGAAAGTTTTCCCTCAGAGGTATCCGTTAGGTCGGCTCTGGTGGCCCCTGGAGTCGCACACTCATAGTACCGGTATAAAAGGTCCTGCTGACCCACAACCCCCTCAGTTACTTCTTGCTGACCAACTCCAACGGAGGGGTAGGAAGGTAGGTCTTGGAATGGACAGGAGCAACACATCTCAAAGAACAGTTATGGAAAGGTTAGTAACTATTTTTCTTCTTTGAGTGCTTGCTCATGTCCATTTCATGTAGGTGACTCTCTAGCAGTTGCAAATGGAGGATTCAGAGTTTATTGACCTGCTGATTGCAACACCGCTCTGCCAAATCCAGCATCATCTCTAGCCTGTTGGGTGACGGGGTAGTGAAAAGTGAAAGTGTGAACCAACAACTATATTGCAGCTCTACAAACGTTCTGGATAGGACATTTTGTGCTACAAATGCTGCTAAAGATGCTTGGGCCCTTGTGGAATGTGCTGTCAGGGCAGCTGGGGCAGGGACCTTTGCCAGGTCATAGCATGTGCTGATGTAAGATGTGATCCACAATGAAATACTCTGGGTTGAGATGGGAAGACCTTTCATCCTGTCTGCACAGGCCACGAATAGTTGAGTAGTTTTCCAAAATGGCTTAGTCCTTTCTATGTAGAAAGCCAGTGCACATCTGATGTCTAGCGAGTGGAACCTCTGTTCTTCTCTGTTGGCATGTGGTTTTGGATAGAAGACCAGTAGGAAGATATCCTGGTTACTATGGAACTGGGAAAGCTGGATGAGGACGCAATTGGACCTTGTCCTTGAAGAATACCATGTTATGGTGGTTCTGAAGTAAGGGCCCAGATCTCTAAGACACTTCTGGCACAAATAATGTTCACCAGGAAGGTCACCTTCCAGGACAGGTAGAGCAGAGAGTATATTGCCAGTAGCTCAAATGGAGGTCCTGTCAGTTTTGACAATTCCAGGTTGATATCCCTGGGAGGGATTGGTTGCCATACCTGGGGGTACAATCTCTCAAGGCCCTTAAGGAACCAATTACAGATGGTGTTTGAAAACACGGAACGGCCATTCATCCATGGGTGAAAAACTGAGATTACGGACAGATGACCTACTTAGACCTTGTTGTTTTAGGTGTAGTAAGTAGTTCAGAATAAATGCTATTGTTGATAGCATACACAAGACACCCTTCTGCGTAGACCAGATCGAGAACCTATTCTTCTTTGCCAGGTAAGTCGCTCTGGTGGATGGCTCTCTGCTCCCTAGAAGTACCTTGCAAACCTGCCCTGAGCATGCTAGCTCTGAGGGGTTCAGCCATGGAGCTTCCAGGCTGTCAGATGAAGGGACTCGAGGTTAAGGTGGCACAGGTTGCCCTAGTCTTAGGAGATCAGGTTTGGATACAGAGGTAGAAGAACTGGCATCTCCAAAGAGAGGTCTAAGAATGTGGCGAACCAATGCTGGCGGGGCCAAGCAGGGCTATCAGGATGACCCACGCTTTGTCCTTTCTGATCCTCAGCAAGACTTTGTGTATTAGAGGAATGGGAGGAAATGCATAGAAGGGATGACCCGTGTAGGGGATAAGGAAGGTGTCTGCGAGAGATCCGGGGCTGTTACCCAGGAGGGAACAGAATTGGAGACACTTCCTGTTGTGCTTTGTCACGAACAGATCTATCTGGGGAATTCCCCATCTCTGGAAAATGGTGTTCACAACATCTGGACGAATGGAGAAAGATCTGCTGAGGTGATCCGCTAACTCGTTCTGAGATCTCAGCAGATAGGAGGCCTGGAGGTGGATCAAGTGCGTTATGCAGAATTCCCACAAGCGAAGTGTTTCCTGGCACAGGTGAGAGGAGCATGCTCCTCCCTGCCTATTGATATAAAACATCACCATCATGTTGTCTGTGAGATCTGACACATTCTTGCTCGCCAAATGGGTCTGGAATGCCTGGCATGACAAGCGAACTGCTCTGAGCCCCCAGACATTGATGTGTGTAGCGAGAGCTCTTCTGGAGACCAAAGGCTCTGAGTTCTGAGGGAACCTAGAAGAGCACCCCAGCCTATCACTGAAGCATCTGTAATGAGAGACACAGATGGTTGGGGTCAGCAGGTTTAACCACCAATTGAGAGAGGTGATCACCGACAGGGAACCGTGATAACTGTGTCCAAACAGTGTCAGTTTGACGAGTATACAGACGCCAGCCATGCCTGGAGAGGTCTTAGTTGAAGTCTCACATGCTGCACCACTTACGTGCATGAGGCCATGTGGCCCAGGAACTTCAAGAAGTTCCTCGCTGTAGTGATGGAGTGATCTCTGAGGTTCTCTATAAGCATCACTATTGCTTGGAACCGTGCTTCTGGGAGGAAAGTTCTGGCTTGGACAGAGTTGAGGATCACCCCGATAAACTCTATCCTCTGAACCAGGGAGAGGGTAGACTTCTGAACGTTTATCAGCAGACCCAAGTCCTGAATGTTGACTGGATTAACTTTATGTCAGACTCCACCTGGCCATTGGTCTTACCTCTGACCAGCCAGTCACCAAGGTAATGGTAGACCTGAGCCCCCTGTCTCCTCAGGAAGGCTGCAACGACCGCCATGCACTTTGAGGGGTTGCTGGCAGGCCATATGGGAAAACCGCAAATTGGTAGCGCACGTGGTTCACGATGAACCTGAGGAACCTTTGGTGTTCCTGAAAGAAAGATCGAGATATGGAAGCAAGCAAGCATCCTTCAAATCAAGGGTGGTGTACTAGTCCCCAGGATCCACGGAAGGGATAATGGAAGCCAAGGAGACCATGCAGAACTTTGACTTCTTCATGTATCTGCTGAGCTTTTGCAGGTCCAGAATTGGTCTGAGACTGCCGTTGGCTTTCGGGATAAGGAAATATCAGCAGTAGAATCATCAGTCCTCTAACTCTGGTGGAACCTCTTCCATGGCTCCCACCCTTAGGAGCGACTGCACCTCTTGGGCTAGAAGTAGCTCATGAGAAAGGTCCCTGAAAAGGGATGGGGAGGGTGGGAACAACTGAACTAAAGAGTGTATCCCACTGCTATTATGCTTAGCACCCAGTCGTCTGTTGTAATGCGGGCCCACACCTGATTGAAATGGGATAAACGGTCCACAAAAACTGGAGAGGCTGGATCCAAATTCTATCCTGGTATGTCATCCTCAAGCGTCCCATTAAAAGGCCTGCTTGGACCTACCAGAGTGTCGGGGGGGAGGGGGGAGGAGAGGCGGGGCAAGGCGTAGATGTGGATGAGGATGGGGGCAGAGGTCTTCTCCTAAAGCTCCTGCTCCTTTCCCTTTGGTAGTCTTGCCAGGCAGGTGGTGGGAAGAATCGAGCAGCCAGTTGAGGCTTATAATGTTTCCTTGTGGGTGCCAGTGTATAAAGTCCTAGAAACTTCAGAGTGGCTGTAGTGAGTCGGTGTGGCTCCCCACCACCCCGGAGAGGGATGAGCCCATCCGGAGGCCGGAGTGGGTCGAGCTAGGGAGCTCTGAGCCCGCCCCTCAGAGGGTCAGGCGGCGACCCGGAAGTATAAAGGCTCACCCTCAGAGCTCAGTAAGGACCCAGCTGCCGGAGAGGCCAGACGCCTCCAGCCTAGCCCACGACTGGGAAAACCCCGCGGCCCAAGGTACACTTGCCCTGCGCTCACTACCCGGAAGAACCCATGGTGCTGGACCCCCCAGAGGACAACACTCTGACCCAGGTACTACCCGAAGGGGAGTCTGGAAGTAGCCAGGGGCAGCCGACCCTAGTCTGGCTGCAGCACTACCAGAGCCCATGTCAGTGTGTTGCGGCCAGGATCCCCACTGACACAGCAGCGGGTCTTCTGCCCAACTTGTGGGTGGCAGTCTCCCAGGCCTGTGGAGGCTTGGGCCTACTGTTGTTGCTCAGCCCTGCCTGAGGGCCTGAGCTCCTGACTCTGTACTGCCCTGCCCTGCCCTAGGGCCTGGGCTTGCTACTAATTGTACTGTTGTTGCTCAGCCCTGCCTAAGGGCCTGAGCCCCTGACCCACTGTTGCCCCGCCCTGACCCAGGACCTGGACCTATTTCTATTGTATTGTGGTTGCTCAGTCCTGCCTGAGGGCCTGAGCATCGGACTCCTTGTTGCCCTGCCCTGACCCAGGGCCTGGGCTTATGGTGTTTGTTCTAGTTCTTCAAGGGCTGCCGAGGAAGACCCCGCAGCCAGACTAATTCCCCCGAACCTTAACTGTGTGTAGGGAGCCGGTGTGGCTCCCCACCACCCCGGAGGGGGTTGAGCCCCGGCAAACCCTTGTAGAGTGGCTCTTGAGTCCTTTAGGCTGTGCAGCTTGGAGTCTGTCTGCTCAGAAAAGGGTGATGTGCCCACAAAAGGAAGGTCCTGCAAGGTCTGTTGGACCTCATGCAGCATGCCCGAGGATTGAAACCATGAGCTTCTGTGCATTGCCACCGCTGAGGCCATAGATTGGACTGCAGAGTCTGCATTATCCAAGGCTGCTTGCAAGGATGCCTTTGCACCAATTTGCCTTTCTCCACAGGAGCTACAAATTCTTGTCTGGACTCCTGGGGTAATAACTCCTTAAATTTCAGCATGGAATCCCAGAAATTAAAATCGTACTTGCCCAGGAATGCCTGCTGATTCATGATCCTGAGCTGGAGGCCCCCTGTTGAACAGCTCTCTCTGCCAAAAAGGTCTAATTGGGGGTTGGCCCCTGTAGCCCGTTTTTCCCCCTCACTGGCTGTTGACACCACCAAAAAGCCCAGTGGTGGATATGTGTAAAAGAAACTCACAACCCTTAGCTGGGATAAAGTATTTGTTTTCAGTTTTCTTTGCTGTTGGCTGAAGAGATGCTGGGGCCTGCCATAATGCCTTGATGGGGTCCATAATGGCCTTGTTAAGGGGCAATTCCACTCTTGATGGGCTGTGACTATTAGAATGTCCACTAGGGCATGGGAGGACTCCCTGATCTCTTCTACTTGGATCTCCAGGTTTTGAGCCCCTCTCTTAAGGAGCTTCTGATGAGCCTTGTAGTCATCCTGGGAGGGTGCTACATCTGCTCCCACCACAGTCTCATGAGGAGAAGAGGAGGAAGCCTGTACTGGTAGGGGGCACTGTTCTTCACACTCAGCACCAGACAGGTCTCAAGGTGCTGGCTCTTGCTATTTGGCACTGGCCTCAGTACTGAAGCCTGGGTCCTGCTCTGACTGGAGCAGTGGAAGTGCTCTGGACTTAGAGTATGGAGTATGACCTTCTGCAACGAGTCCTCTGCATTGTCCGGAAAGCTCAGGGGTTCCAGAATGGCCACTGAACTGCATCTGCCACTGCCCCGGGGGCCACACTGTGGATGGGATGCCTTGGCTTGGGTCCATGACAGGATAGTGCTAATTGGAGTGACGGAGTCAGTTCCTGCGAGAGGCATATGACTCAGCCTTCGACTCTGTCTCCGAAGACTCCCCTCCTGAAGACAAGGGAGGAGCGGTGCTAATCAGTGCCAGCGAGCAGTGCTGAGAGGGACTGTTTCTCTTTTGAAGACACCTGGGGCCTCAATGCTGCTGAGGTTGTTTCTCATCAGTGCCACTGCTGTCAGCTCCTGCATAGCTGGAGACGCTGGTACTGGCAGTGTGAGTAGGTCTCTCACTGCGGCAAATGTGTCTGGCGTCGATAGTACTGCCAACAAAGTATCTCCAGTGGCTCTCCTGCGGTGGTGAGTTCATTGGTATGGGACTCAACAGTACCCACTCTGGGGCTGGTGTTAATGGCACTGCACAGGTTGCTGAAGCTGTGGAGTGTCCCAACGCAGGTCGCACTCTACTAGTGTTTCCCTGCCCTGCTGACCTCGGGGATGGGGATAGACCACTATCAGTCTTCTTCTATTTCTTCCTCGGTACCAGTGATGGAGCGTGGTGCCGAGGTTCTCTCACTGGAGCATTTTTCTTTGGCACCGGAGATGGTGGATGGTGCCAAGGCTCTCGAAAGGTAGAAGGAGCATCTTTTCTCAGTGCCAGGGATGAAGAGCAGCGCTGAGGATCTCAAAGAGTAGCCAGAGCACTCCTTATTGAGACTGAAGTGCTTGGTGCCAAGTCTGAGTGGTCCGGTGCCGATGGAGGCCTTAGCGCTGCCTCCATTAGGATAAATCTCAGTCTGGAGTCTGTATCCTTTTTGGTGCAGGGCCTGAAGTCTTTACAGATCTTACAACGTTCTTATATGTGAGCTTCCCCCAGTCACTTAAGGCAACTGGAATGGGTGTAACTCACAGGCATAGGCTTGTGGCACGAGGCACAAGACTTAAAACCTGGAGACCAAGGCATGCCCCAGTACCAGGCAGAGACTAACTCCACTAATCTATCTAATAACAGAAATTTAACTACTAACAACAAGAGATAACTATATACAATATAGAGTTGAAAAAGTCCACTAAGGGTGTACTTGCAGATTGCAAGGATAAGGTAGTTCCAGCGACGGTCACAGGCAGTAAGAAGGAACTGAGAGGGCTGCGGCTCCTGGCAGGACCCTTTATACTGGTCCTAGGAGCATGCAACTCCAGGGGGCAGCAGAGCTGACCTGATGGATACCACTGAGGGAAAATTTTCCAGTGGCAGTGCTCGGGGCAAGCACACACCTACCTAATGGAATGGACATGAGCAAGCACTTGATGAAAAACTCCACGTTGCAGCCCTGGAAATTTCAGTAACAGGGACTTGCTTAAGGCAAGCAAAAGAGGCTGCCACAGCTCTGGTAGAATGAGATCATACCATCATAGGTACAGGAATTTCTGCTAATGTGTAACATTCAACAATACATTTTTTAATCCATTTAGAAACAGTTTATGGCAGTGGATTTCAATCTTTTTAAATTTGCAGACCTCTTAAAAGTTTCTAATGGAGGTGTGGACCCCTTTGGAAATTGGATGTCTGCAGACCACAGGTTGAAAACCAGTGGTTTAGGGAGACAGAATATGACCCGTGTGATTTTTAGCATAAAACACAAATGATCTAGATAATTTTCAAAAACTTTTAGTTCTACTTAAATAATATGCAAGAGCTCTGTGATGTCCTTCTCAGTACTACACACACTATTCCAAATGAAGCTGCACAATTTATATAAAAGGTATTATAATATTTGCATATTATTCAACTTTCCATTCCTTATGCAATCTAACATCTTGCTTTTTGGACTACAGTTGCACACAGATCAATGGAGATCTCCATTGATCTGTCTACAGTGTCACACAGTTCTCTTTGTTCAGTATTATTTTAACTCAATAATTCACTTACAAATAAATCTTTAAAAAGCAAATGCTATCCCTTAAGTTGTGGGTATTTTTTATTTATTTGTCAAGTGTATACTGTAGCTTTTACTAAGCCAAATTTAGAAAGCATTAATATAAAATACACAGTTAACTTACTTGAGGCCTCCCTGCTCTCCCAATCATTTGCAGAATATCTGTTTCACTGTATTCTTGAAACATTCCTCCAACATAGTGCATTGTAGATTTTATAACTACCAGGTGTGCGGGTAAATTTACTCCCATAGCTAAGGTACTAGTAGTAACTGAATCAGATTAAAGCATATTAATTTAATAATAAACAGTATTCGGTATACTAGCAAGATTTTAAATAAAGCAGCAAATATATGGGCCAATCCTGTGAGGTGCTAAGCACTCTCAACTCTAATGAAATCAATGGGAGGAAAGGGCACTGAAGAGCTCATAGGGCCCATAATCTGTATATACATTCATATGCAGTATTTCAGTGTATCTGATCATGATTTCTGTGTTGTCAAATGCTCCCTTAAAAACTAAATATAGCCAACATATTTGTATTTAAATATTTGTTAACATTTACAGGTAAATCAGGGTCCAGTCTTTCATTCCTCGTGCACCAAAATCACATTGAAGTAATTGCTAATCATTCAATACAAATAGTTCAGGAACTGTTTGAATATAGCCATTACTTCATCCTGTTTTGTAGTGACTGTATACTTAAGGACAGTTTTCGGGTCTTTTAATTTGCCTGTAAAGTGACATGCACATCTATAGTACTAAAATAATTCTCATAATAATGTATTTTTCATGACCCACCAGTCTCAAACTCCAGGCCCACAAGGTTCATTAGAGCAGTGGCAGATTAGCCACTGGGCCTGTACGGGACCCTGGAAAAATGGGGGTCCCCACGCTCCTGCTGGGGAATGGGGTTGGGATGCAGGGACTTGCCACGTTCCGCTCGCCCAGTGCTCCTGCTGGGGAGCAGGGGAAGCCCCCACGCCCCAACCCTGCTCCCCAGCAGGAATGTCAGGCAGGCGGAGCGGGGCAAGCCCCCACACCCCAACTCCATTTCCCCAGAAGAAGTGCATGGGGGGGACGACTGCAGGCAGAAGGGGTGGGGAGGGGCCACCACTTGCTCTGGCCCAGGGCCCTAGGCCCCACAAAAGCTTAATCCACCTCTGCATAGGAGCAACCAGGCTCCAACCCTCCACATGGTAGTATTCTGGCAACAGCCTACTTGAGAACCATGAAGCCCACCCCCATTGGTGAGATTCTGCCCCTAAGGTCTGATTTGTGGAGTCCCCAAGTGGCTATTTGGCCCACTGTCCCTACTTAAGCCAGCAACAGGAAGCCATCTGAACAACGAGGCTCCACCCCCTTGCTTTGTCCCAATCCCACTATCTACTCGTGCTTCCCCAGCTTGATCTCCTGTCAGTCTGATCTGCTTAACTCCTGGCACCTGACTGGTGGTTCCTGACCTCCATTTTGTCCCCTGCTCCTGACTCCCTGGTGTAAGGGACCAGAGTGTAGGCAGACTTGCCTAGCAATCACAGCTGGGCTGGGGTACACATGTCAAGGATGGAAGTCAATGAACAGGGATCAGAGGAATCGCTACAGCTGGGTTCAATAAGCAAGAGTCAGGGTCAGGCTAGAATCAGAGACCAGAGATCAGAAGATGAGGTGAAGTCTGGAGTTGCAGCAGGCCAGAAGTCTGTGTGGTTGCCCAGACAACTTCCTGAGGCACCTACCTGGGTTGAATAGTGCACTTCATCAATCAGAGGGGTGCAGGGTACTCTCACTCTGGGTCATTTGGGAGGTACTTCCTGTGATGCCTACTTTCCACAATGCTCCCTGGATGTGGCTCTGCAAGCCTTCCCAGTGGGACTGTGGGAATGTCAGCTATCCCAGGATCTGCAGACCTAGGTTCTAGTCCACGGATCCTTACATCTGGTATCCGGACCCAACCTGACTCTAGTTCCCGACTCGTGTTCTGATCTCTAGTTTGTCTCCTGATTCTGATCTCCCAGTGTCCCAACTCAACTGATTCTTGACTCCTGTCTTGTAACTGCAGACTTTAGGGTCTGACTACTATGTCTGGCCACCCATCACACAGCGTCAAACACAAAAGACATATTAGTAAATCCAGAGGTGAAAATAAGCCCTGCCCCTTCTGCCCGAGGCCCCACCCCTTCCAGGGCCCAGAGCTGCCCCCCATCTTGCCCAGGAGCCTGGCTGCCCTGTGTACAGGTAAGTCTTTTAAGTTACTTTCACCCCTGAGTAAATCACAAGTGTGTGGATTTATTTGAAGAATCTGGTCATATTTAGATAATATTTTTCACATGTTCAATCCATTTTCTTTAAGAAGAATAGGATAACATGATTAGAACTAAAGAGTTGGCTTTCCATTTTCAACTGGTATTATTCTTCCTCAATGAAGAAGTAATATTCTGACCAGAATTTATTTTTGAAGGGAAAAGAAAAACTGAAGTTAATGGGACTTAGGAATGCAGGATCAAACCCTAAAGTACAGGCCCAGTCATGCAGCCTCACGTGAGTATTAGTATCATTTATACTGTAGTAGCACGTAAAATGTCCTAAATACTTATTGAAACAAATTGACCTACTCGTATACAGGCTGCAGAACCATACTCTCTATCATCATGGATTTCATGTCATAAAAATAAGTGAAAGAATCATAACGTTTACTTTTTCCAAATACGAATCTCCTCACTATATTTAAAAAGAAAAAATATAGTAACAACATTTTGACTTTCAAATGTTTAAGTTTACTTACAAAGTACTGGTAAGTCTCCCCTGGTAAAAGCTCCTTCAATTATTTTTCTATCAGATAGTTCCATACCAGCATGATGATAAGCCACACCACACATTAAAAGATCTGAAAAAGAAATATTATATCCATTGCCTTTACTATCTTTCGTCAAGCAAATATTATTAATTCATGTTGGCAAAAATTAGCATTGTTGTACATGGGTGCCAGGTTTGTATAATTTTTGGTGGTTCCCAGAACGGGTCACGCAGAGCCATCCCATCCATAGGATGGACCGGGGCAACCGCCCTGGGCCCCGTGCTTTGGGGGTCTCCGCGCTTCACGGGGATGCAGGGTCCATGGTAGCCTGGGGAATTAGTGGGGGGCCTGGCACTGGCAGCAGCAAGCAACCCAGCCACAGCCCGCCCCTGCTCTGCCCCCTCCCCATCCCCATTCCACCCCTTCCCCCAAGTCCCTGCCCCGCCTCTTTCCAGCTTCCACCCCCTCCCCCGAGCAACACCGGGAGCCAGTGGGGCGGAGCGGAGTGGGATGGGGTGGGCTGGGGCCGGGTCGTTCGCTAACCCCCCAGGCCGCCCTGGACTCTGCGTTCCCCTAAAGCGCAGGGACCCCCAAAGTGCGGTAAGCTCAAACATTGATGGAGCCGGGCCCATGTTCCTAAATACTGGTGGAGCATGGGCACCACGGGCTCATATAAAACTCGCTGCCTATATTGTTGTACTTACCTCTCACTTTGGTATCTTTTGTTGAATTTGCACACTTTTGTAATCTACATAAAAATGAAACAAAAACAATAAGTACTTTTTAAACCCAAAATTATAAAGCATTTTTACTAATTTATATACAATATGAAGACATACCAACGTGTTTTAAAAAAAGCACAATGATATCCTATGAAGAACTCTGCATAATGACATTAAACTTTGATTCCAGCAGTTACTCATTAAGAGTCATAAGATTTATTCTTCTGTTTAAATTAATTTGTCCTTATTTCTGTCACATCCTTGTGTTTTTCAATACAGTCCTATTTCATATCTACATTTTAGAATACTAAAAGGTCAATGTATATGGCATAATTTTTAAATAATTTTCTCACTTATAATTACCTTTTGGATACTTGAAACTAAAATCTGTTTGTTTTTAAACGACTAAATCCTGTAATCCAAACTCAGGCAAATCTTCCCATTGTTTGAGTAATGTCTGTATGTTTAGATAGAGAATTAATATCCAGGAACCTGGACTGTAAATCTACAGCACTTCAGCATTTCATGCACTAACTGACCGTGTGGACCCTGCTACCACATACTGAAAGTTCTGTAAAGCACTTTCACTTACTGCTGATTCAAACAGCAGTAAGTCAAAGAGCACTATGGGAGTTTTACTGCACAGCAACAGATCCACATACAATTTAGTTCACAGCAGGCAAGTGCACTGTACATTTACACCCCAGGTTGCCACACGATAACCCTCCTTATAGGCAAAACCTAAATTTCATTATTGCATCCTCCCACGGTAAAATCTACAAGAGGAAGACCATGAGTGCCAGAAACTCTGTGAAGTGAGCCGTGGAGAAAACACGGAGAGTAACCTCCAAACTGCATATCTGCCAAGGATCCACTCACAAGCAACTGCCCCTTCACACTGTTTTTTGAGGCTACTTTCCCTCATTCACTGATTCCTCCCTTTTGTACGACAATCACCCTCAGCAGCAACATGAGTTTATGGGTCTTCTAATGGGTGGCATTAAAGTGACTACAGATTTGTAAGGAATGTTTCCACCAATCTGGGAGGAGAGCATGCCACAATGAGTGGCATTACCTATCAGCTCCACCAGATCAGACCCCCTCCTGACCAACCTCATGAGAGTTCACTATGAATCCCAACATCATAGTAGTTCTCTAATATAGCTTCCATAGGTTTGGGGAAAGAAAGAGAATGCTAAAGAGTGACTCTTCTTTTGCATCTCACTTACTTTGTGCAGGTTTCTCTCCACTACATCAACCTAAGTGAAGAGGTGCATATGGCCCTGAATAAGTATTGAAGAATTTGGATCTGATTATTTTCCCACAGTAAAAATACTGTGTGCTTTGAAAGCCTGTTCATGAATGTTGGGCTATTCATGTCAATATTCTTTGAATATTGATGAATTTGGACTTGGGAAAGAAACATTTATGGACATAATCTTGCAGTACTTTCTCAAGCAAAGTTTCTATTCACTTCTTCAAACTACTCTGATTTCAATGAGAGTTTTGACTGATTAATTATAATAAATAGTAATAATAATGACTGGGCTCAAAGAGTTTCAAGAACTTCTCAAACAGACATTAATATAGAAGAGGGCTACTAATAGTTGTTTAATAGTGTCTGAAATTCTGAACACAGAACTGTATCATAATTATTATCTCAAGATCCATTTGAAATCTGTTTTTTAAAAAAACAGCCTTCAAATAAACTGTAATGTAAGTACCGTTTTAAAATATACATGTAGGCCTCAATTCAGGAAAGTACTTAAGTACGTGCAAATGTCCATCAATTTTACTGAAAACACTTAAGCATGTGCTTAAATCCCATTGATTTAAAATGGGAATTAAACTTGTTCTTAAGCATCCTTCTTGAATTGGGCTCTAATAAATGCATTTGGGATTGAACAAGACACACAGCTCCTATTATTCCTACCAGGAGTTGTACAAATGAAAATGTAGCTTTGATATAACTACCTGGTGAAATAAATAATCACTAACAGAAGTTAGGACTGTGTTTACTAAGGACTTGATCCTGCAAAGACTTACAGTATCTTAAATTAGGCACGTGCATCTGTGAGTAGTTCAACAAAACCATATCCAGTGGGACTATTCATATGTGTAAGTCTTTGCAGGCTCACTGGAAATTAATGTTTTTATTCTTCAAAAAACAGGTAATTTAAAATATTAAATGCATTTAATGTTCATGAAAAGTACCCAAAAGACATCCTTCAAGAAGAGATTCCTTTATTTAGAGGAAATAAGTATAGCTCAGTCAACAGAAATGCAAGTTGGATTACACAGTCCTATAAATGTATCTCAACCCTATTCTGCAGAGAGCATTCTAATGGCGAGAAATTCCACATTCCAGTCTGCATGGTCCATTCAGTCCCTGGCCACTAGTGAAATTTCCCAGCAAGGGGGCCAACCGCAATAATGATTTTGAGATATAGATACCTCTCTACTAGAAATTGTACTGAACCCACCAACCCTCTTCACATGGCCCATAGAATGGCTAGAATACACGTATGCTTTTATTATAGCAGGGACAAAGGACAGACAAGAAGGAATATAAGATGTTCATTAGATTTCCCTTCTAGATGTCTGAATACTAACATAAGAAGTATGGGGAATAAACAGGAAAACCTAGAAATACTAGTGAATAATCACAATGATGACATAACTGGCATCACAAAGACTTGGTGGGATAATTCACATGACTGGAATATTGGAAAACAAGGTTTCAATGTGTTCAGGAAGGACAAGCAGGGAAAAAAGGGAGGAGGTGTTGTATATCAAAAGTGTATACACTTGCACTGAGGCTGAGGCAGAAGTGGGAGGCAGACCTGTTGAAAGTCTCTGGGTAAGGATAAAAGGGGTAAAAAAAACAAGTGTGATGTCATAGTGGGGAACTATAATAGACTACCTAACCAGGAAGAAGAGGTGGATGAAGCTTTTTTAAAAACTAACAAAATCATCCAAAGCACAGAACTTGGTGGTGATTGGAGACTTCATCTACCCAGACATCTGTAGGGAAAATAATGCAGCAGGACACAGATTATTATTCAACGAGCTTTGGAATGCACTGGAGACAACTTTTTATTACAGAATGTGGAGAAAGTGACTGGGGCGAGGCTACTCTAGATTTGATTCTGACAAACAGGGCGGAACTGGTTTAGAATTTGAAGTCAGAAGGCAGCTTGGGTGAAAGTGATCAAGAAAAGATAGAGTTCATGATTCTAAGAAATGGAAGGAGGGAAAACAGAAGAATAAAGATAATGGACTTAAAAAAGGCAGATTTTGGCAAACTCGGAGAATTGGTAGGTAAGATCCCATGGGAAGAAAGTCTAAGGGGGAAAAAGTTCAGGAGAGTTAGTAGTTCCTTTTTTAAAACAACTGCCAAGGTGCACAAGAGCAAACTATCTCAATGCATAAGAAACATGCAAGAAGACACCACTGTGGCTTAACCATGAGATCTTCAATGATCTGAAACTCAAAAAGTGGAACTAGGTCAAATTACAAAGGATGAATATAAAAAGAACAACGCAAGCATGTAGAGACAAAATTAGAAAGGCCAAGGCACAAAAAAGAGATTAAACTAGCTAGGGACATAAAGAGTAACAAGAAAACATTTTACAAATACATTAGAAGCAAAAGGAAGATCAAGGACAGGGTAGGCCCATTACTCAACGAGGAGGGAAAGACAATAACAAAAAATGTAGCAATAGCCTAAGCGTTAAATGCCTTTTTTGTTTCAGTTTTCACCCAAAAGTTTAGCAGACATCGGATACCTAACATAGTGCACATCAGTGTAAATGGGGTAGGATCTGAGGCTAAAATAGGGAAAGAACAATTTAAGAATTACAAAGGCCTTGTCTACACAACAGAGTTTGGTTGACAAAAGTCAGCTTTCATCGACAAAAAAATACACATTACAATGCTTCTTCCGCTGACAAAATATTCCTGCTTTATTTCAAGAGGTGCTCCAATCCTCAGGCGCAGAAAAACATGAATACAGGGCATGGAAAGAACGAGTAAATGAAAATTATAAGAGAGAGGCAGGAGAAGAAGGAGAGTCAGGAATAAATTTTAATGGGCCAGAAGCAGTTGACAGAAGTGATGGAGGTGCATACAGAGATGTTGGAGTCCCTATTCGTATTGCAGGCCTAATACATGTGTGCTCGTCCCTCCCTGCAGCCCATACAGAACTGCTTTCCATGTCCTCCCCAAACCTCTCCCACACATTCCTTGCATCTTCCCAAGCCTGTCGCAGTACCCCATTCATTACATCCCTTCAGATGGGTTCCAAAATGATAGCTGGAGTTACAAACAGCTATGAGAGTCTACATCAGGAGACTGCCCTTCACTGTTATCTCCCTTTCAACCAAGTGTTTTCTATGTGTTGTTAATTGATATTTAATAAAAACACACCCTCTGAAAGATAATCAATCTTTATTTGTCTCCTGCACACAATGGTTGCTGATAGAATTAATACACATGGCAATTGTAACATTTGCAGACTACAAATCATGGTCAAGAAGCAATTATCAACATTTTCTTGCAAGGTGGGAAATTAACAAAGCATGGCAGAGTGCTTTATAGAAAGTCACATTACTAGTGCTCATTGTTAAAATGGTGCCTTAAAGCCTCCCTGATTCGAATAGTGCCCCCATTGTGCCCCTCTAATAGCCCTGATACCTGGCTGTTCAAAATCAGCCACCAAACAATCTGCCTCCGCACTCCACTCCGGGGGAAATTTTTCCCCATTAACCTCACAAATACTATGCAGCGCACAGCAAGCTGCTATGACCATGGGAATATTTTCCTCATTTAGGTTTAACCTGCCATAAAGGCAGTGCCTGCGAGATTTTAATCTGCCAAACACACATTCAGCCTATTGTTGAAGCGCTCCTTGCTGCTGCCCAGGTTTCCTGTGTAAGGCTTCATGAGACGTGGTAGTAAGGGGTACGTTGGGTGTTCCAGGATCACTATGGGCATTTCAATATCCCCCATTGGAATCTTCTGGTCTGGAAAGGAAGTCCCTGCTTGCAGCTTTCTGTACAGTCCTGAAGATGCATGTGTCATGCACCTTCCCTGACGTCAATGAAATGATCTCAGTGATCTACAAGCACTTGCAATACCATAGAGAAATACCCATTTCTATTGATGTACTCCATCGCAAGATTAGGATAGCCATGCCATTTATCACCTTGCTGCAGTTAGGGAATCCCAGTGCCGCAAAGCCATCCACTATTTCATGCACATTTCCAAGAGTCACAATCCTTCATAGCAGGATGAGATTAATGGCTCTGCACAGTTGCATTAACGCAGTCTCAACAGTTGATTTCCCAACTCCAAACTGATCTACGAGTGACTAGTCTGGAGATGCCAGCTTTCACACAGCGATTACCACACACCTCTCCACTGAAAGGGCAGCTCTCATTTGGGTGTCCTTGCACTACAGTGCTAAGGCAAATTCCACACACAGTTCCAGGAAGATGCCTTTCTGTTTCTGAAAGTTCTACAGTGGCTGCTTGTCATCCCAGACCCGCAGAACGATGCGATCCCACGATTCAGTGCTTGTTTCCCGAGTCCAAAAGTGACAGTCCACCGTGCGCAGCTGCTCCTATTTTTACTATTGCTATATTTGAATGCCAAAAGTAATCTGATGTTGTTTCTTTCCAAGGAACATAGCAGGTCAGGCACCTAGGATTCCTGTTCAGCTCATGATATACAGCATGACTAGCCACGAAGTGTTCATAACAGTGACCACAAAAGTAGAGAGCAGTGCAGGATCCATCCTTTCAGGCAGACATGGCAGGCGCACAGTAAACAGTAGCCATTGAAAAATGGCACAAAACGCAGTCAGAAGCCCATGGAATGCTGGGACTGAAAAAACTGTATCATGGGACGTTGAGCTCATACCCATAATGCACTGTGAACCATGTTCCCTCTAGTTTTTTACATCCATGTGCAGAATGAATTTTGTTATGTGCACCAATATGAAGGTGATGTGTGGTGGGGATGGGGCTGAGGGGTTTGGGGTGCAGGAAGGGGTTCAGGGCTAGGGCAGAAGGTTGGGGTGTGGGGTGGTGAGGGCGCTGGCTGGGGGGTGAGGGCTCTGGGGTGGGGCCAGGGATAAGGGGTTCACGGTGGGGGAAGGGGCTCAGGGCTAGGGCAGAGGGTTGGCGTGGGGGGTGCTCCAGCTGGGGGGTGCAGGCTCTGGGGTAGGGCCAGGGATGAAGGGTTTGGGGTGCAGACTGCCCCGGGGGTGCAGCAGGAAGAGAGGACTCTCCCCAGTCCTCTCTTGCTGCAGCAGCCCGGGGCCAGGGGAGAGGTGCCTCTCCCCGGCCACGGCAGCTCCGGGGCTGGGGAAATGACGCCTCTCTCTGGCCATGGCAACTCCAGGGCTGGGGCCAGGGGAGAGGCACCTCTCCCCTGCCCATGTGGCCCTTGATAGCCTGCTGCGTGGCCACGCAGCTTACAGGGAACTTCAACTGTGATCCACTTGGCCTTCCCAAAACTTCTAGATGCAGAAGGTGGTGAGTAGCACAGTGGGATAGCTATCCATGGCACACTGCTCTCACTGTCAATGCTAGAGCACCAACTATGGATGTGCTCCACCGACAGAAGAAGCATTGTGTGAACATGCAAAAGGGATGTAATTATAGTGGTTTTTGATCGTCGGCATAACTTGTATCAACAAAACTCTGTCGTGTAGACAAGGCCTTGGACAAGTTAGATGTCTTCAAGTTAGCAAGGCCTGATGAAATACATCCTAGAATACTTAAGGAACTGTCTGAGGAGATCTCTGAACCGTTAGCGATCTTTGAGAACTTGTGGAGGATGGGAGAGATCCCAGAGGGCTGGAAAAAGTCAAATATAGTACCTATCTATAAAAAGGGGAATAAGGACAAACAGAATTATAGACCAGTCAGCTTAACTTTGGTACACAGAAACATAATGGAGCAAATAATCAAACAATCAATTTGTAAGCACCTAGAAGATAATAAGGTGGTAAGTAAGAGTCAACATGGCTTTGTCAAGAAAAATCATGTCAAACCAACCTATATCCTTTGATAGGGCAACAAGCCTTGTGGAAGGGGGGAAAGCAGAACATATGATATACCTTGACTTTAGTAAGACTTTTGATTCTATCTCACATGATCTTCTCATAAGCAAACTAGGAAACTATAGCCTAGATGAACCTACTACTTCCAACCTGCACAACTGGTTGGAAAACTGTACTCAGAGTAGTTATCAATCGTTCACAGTCAAGCCTGGAAGGGCATATAGAGTGGGGTCCTAAAGGGATCTGTCCGGAGTCCCGTTCTATTCAGTATCTTCATAAATGGATTGGAGAATGGCATAGACAGTCCACTTACAAAGTCTGTGGATGATACCAAGCTGGGAGGGGTTGCAAGTGCTTTGGAGAACAGGATTAGAATTCAAAATAATCTTGACAAACTGGAGAAAAAGTCTGAAATAAATAGGATGAAATTCAATAAAGACAAATGCAAAGTACTCCACTTAGGAAGGAATAATCAGTTGCACAAATACAAAATGGGAAATGACTGCCTAGGAAGGAGTACTGCAGAAAGAGATCTGGGGGCTATAATGGATCATCAAGTAAATATGAGTCAACAATGTAATACTGTTGCAAAAAATGAGCAAACATCATTCTGGGATGTTGTGATAGGGTAGCATCCTGCTCCTTTCTCTTCTGTAGATGCAAACTGCTCAGAGACATTCTGTTCAAACAACTTGTGCAATTTATTTAGTGTTCTCCCTACCACCTTTACAAATGTGTGCAGCTCTACATTTACAAGCATACAGCCCTTAACTCACTGAGCCAAGGAGGGGAGACAGAAGGTATATTCCCCTTAAGAGATCTCTTCTGGCTCTGGCTCTCAAAAGCCTACCAGTCTCTTTCTTCTTCTCTGAGCATTTCCTGCATGTACCTTTTCTACCTACTGGGCTAAGATAATTAGCCTTTGGGGCTCTCCTCAGCCCATCCCAGTCTATCAATTAGGCAAATATTTGGCCCTTAGGTTTACTCCAGGGTGATATAATTGGAGATCCAGCAATCAGAATTCTGGTACAGCTGCTGCTGTCAAACACTTTGTCACAGATGTACTATCAAGAGTGGTGTAAGCAAGACAAGAAGTAATTTTTCCACTCTACTCAGCTCTGATAAGGCCTCAGCTGGAGTCCTCTGTCCATTTCTGGGCACCATACTTCAGGAAAGGTGTGGACAAATTGGAGAAAGTCCAGAGTAAAGCAACAAAAATTATTAAAGATATAGAAAACATGACCTATGAGGACAAATTGAAAAAAATGGGTTTGTTTAGTCTGGAGAAGACTGACTAAGGTCCTAACAGTCTTCATGTATGTAAAAGGTTATTATGAAGAAGGCGGTGATATATTGTTCTCTATATCCACAGAGGACAGGAAAATAAATAATGGGCGTAAATTGCAGCAAGGAAGATTTAAGACAGACCTTAGGAAAAACTTGCTAAACTATAAGGGTAGTTTAGCACTGAACTAAACTATCTAGAGAGGGCGTGGAATCTTTGTTTCTGGAGGTTTTTAGGAACAGGTTAGACAAACACCTGTCAGGGATGGTCTAGATAATACTTAGCCCTGCCACAGTGTAAGGACTGGACTAGATGACTTATCGAATTCCCCTCCAGCCCTACATTTCTATGGTTAGCAACTACAAGAAATATAAATATACCTTTGTTTCTGTTCCACAGTCATAATAAATTTAGCATCTTTTGCAAGAACTGAAGCAGCCTGCTGTACTCCTTTTCTTGTGGCACAAAACTATAAATAAGAAAATACCTTTTTTATATTAATTGTACTAAGAAAACCAAGAATTTCAAAAGCGTTAATAGAAAAATGTATTATACCACAAGGGTTGGTTTTTGTTCAGAGTATGTTTGTATAACACTAGCTATTTTGTAGTTAAGTGTTAAGTCAAATTTGAATTCTGTTTGGTTGCTACTGCAGGGAAATCCAAGAACTATTTTGCGAAGCTTCACAGGTCGATGACTTTCATCTATTTTCAGACATACAGCAGGTCTCATACCATCTGAAAGCCATTCTGCAATCTTTAAAGAACAAGGAAGCAAGTTAAAATGATGCTTGAAAATAATGCATCTGTTATTATACATGCTCTCTTCAAACTACAGCACATACATAATAAAGAACTGGGAAGCAACTATTTTTACTGCCCCACAAGCCCTATGACATTGACAAAGAGAGTTTACATGTTAAGTCCTTTTTGTCGTGTCTAAACTAATGAATTCACTTGAAAATAGTTTCTTCACTAATGAGCAGACCAAATTCTGTTCCAAATTACACTGGTACTATTGAAGTCAAAATCTGTCCCCAGGCTTTTGTGACTTGTGTTAGCACCCTTAAAATTTTAATTAAAAATATAAAACTTCAGTACTTGATCAATTTTTGGTTGATATTTCCATATTGTTGGGGCCAAAAGTTGTATCTGCGTTCATCAAGCATTCAGCTGACAGCCCAGAAATGACAACTTTACTTTAAAATTCATGTCAAGCTGATTTTACAGCTTTACTCACTTTTCTTTATTTAAGTTTCTCAAATGAAGTTCCTCAGGATTCTCAAATGAAGTGAATAGTCTAAAGAAAAGACGGTTACTCACCGTTGTAACTGTTGTTCTTCGAGATGTGTTGCTCATATCCATTCCAGTTAGGTGTGTGCGCGCCGCGTGCACGATCGTCGGAAGATTTTTACCCTAGCAACACCCGGTGGGTCGGCTGTGGAGCCCCCTAGAGTGGCGCCGTTATGGCGCTGGATATATACCCCAGCCGACCCAGCGCCCCCTCAGTTCCTTCTTGCCGGCTACTCCGACAGTGGGGAAGGGGGGCGGGTTTGGAATGGATATGAGCAACACATCTCGAAGAACAACAGTTACAACGGTGAGTAACCGTCTTTTCTTCTTCGAGTGCTTGCTCATATCCATTCCAGTTAGGTGACTCCCAAGCCCCACCTAGGTGGCGGGGTCGGAGTGAGACATTGCTGTGTGCAGAACCGCTGACCCGAAAGCAGCATCGTCTCTGGATTGTTGCACCAGCGCATAGTGAGTAGCAAATGTGTGGACCGATGACCACACTGCAGCTTTACAAATGTCCTGGATTGGTACTTGAGCCAGGAAGGCAGTCGAGGAGGCCTGGGCCCTCGTGGAATGAGCAGTGAGGCGTGGCGTCGGTACACCGGCCAGGTCGTAGCAAGCACGAATGCAGGACATAATCCAAGAGGACAGGCACTGTGAAGAGACCGGTGAGCCTTTCATCCGGTCGGCCACCGCAACGAAGAGTTGCGTCGTTTTCCTAAATGGCTTTGTACGGTCAATATAGAAAGCCAGGGCCCTGCGAACGTCCAAAGAATGTAAACGCTGGTCTTGACGAGTAGCGTGCGGTTTCGGATGGAAGACCGGGAGAAATATATCTTGGTTTACGTGGAAAGGTGACACCACCTTCGGAAGAAAGGCAGGGTGGGGGCGAAGCTGCACCTTGTCCTTGTGGAACACCGTGTAAGGGGGGCTCGGATGTCAGCGCCCTGAGTTCCGAGACGCGTCGTGCTGAGGTGATGGCTACGAGGAAGGCTGTCTTCCAGGATAAGTACAGGAGTGAGCAGGTCGCCAATGGTTCAAACGGAGGCCCTGTGAGCCTGGAGAGGACGAGGTTGAGGTTCCACGTTGGAACCGGCTGTCGTTGCTGTGGGTACAGCCGGTCTAAGCCCTTGAGGAATCTAACGACCATCGGGTTAGAGAAGACCGAGGACGTGAGTTCTCCTGGGTGGAAAGCGGAAATGGCGGCGAGGTGAACCCTAATTGAGGATGTCGCCAAGCCTTGCTGTCTTAGGGACAGAAGGTATTCCAGTATCAAGGGGATAGGAGCCTGCGAGGGAGACGTAGCTCGTTGCTCACACCAACAGGAGAACCTCTTCCACTTGGCTAAATAAGTGGTCCGCGTAGAGGGCTTTCTACTTCCCAGCAGGACCTGTTGGACGGCCTGGGAGCATTGCCGCTCTGAGCGACTCAACCATGAAGCATCCACGCCGTGAGGTGGAGCGACTGTAGGTCGGGGTGACACAGCCGGCCGTGGTCCTGAGAGATGAGATCCGGACTCAAGGGGAGCGTGATGGGCCTCTGTACTGACAGCTCCAGCAGTGTGGTGTACCAGTGCTGTCTCGGCCAAGCGGGAGCGACTAGAATTACCCGTGCATGGTCCCTGCGGATCTTGAGCAGCACCCTGTGGACCAGCGGGAATGGAGGAAAGGCGTAGAACAGATGGTCTATCCATGCAATGAGGAAGGCGTCTGACCGAGAGCCCGGGGCTCGCCCGTGTAGGGAGCAGAATGCCTGGCACTTCCTGTTGGCCCGAGACGCGAACAGGTCGATCTGGGGAAACCCCCACCTTTGGAAGACGGAATAGATGATGTCCGGGCGAATCGACCACTCGTGCGTCTGGAAGGACCTGCTGAGACGGTCCGCCAGCGTATTCTGGACTCCAGGAAGGAATGACGCCGTGAGATGAATCGAGTGGGCGATGCAGAAGTCCCACAGGCGAATGGCCTCTTGGCATAGGGGAGATGAGCGAGCTCCGCCTTGCTTGTTGATGTAAAACATGGCCGTGGTGTTGTCGGTGAGAATCAGCACGCAACGGCCCTGTAGGAAGTTGAGGAAAGCCTGGCAAGCCAGGCGCACCGCCATCAGCTCTCGGACGTTGATGTGCAGGGCTAGTTGGGACGCGGACCACAGGCCTTGGGTATGGTGCTCCCCCAGGTGAGCGCCCCAGCCTAGAGATGAAGCGTCCGTAACTAGGTGGAGGGAGGGCTGTGGGGCGTGAAAGGGTACTCCTGCACAGACCGCTGTGCGATCCGTCCACCAGGCGAGAGAGGCCAAGACCGAGGCCGGAACCGTGACCACCATGTTCAGGTCGTCTCGATGAGGACGGTAGACCGATGACACCCAAGCCTGCAGTGGGCGAAGTCGCAGTCTGGCGTGCCTGGTTACGTATGTACACGAGGCCATGTGGCCCAAAAGGACAAGGCATGTTCTTATGGTGGTAATTGGAAAGGCCCTGAGACCTTGAATGACGCTTGAGATGGTATGAAATCGGCTGTCTGGCAGTACGGCTCGGGCACGTCTGGAGTCGAGGATTGCTCCAATGAACTCTATCCTCTGAGTTGGTACTAGAGTGGACTTCTCTCTGTTGAGTAGAATGCCCAGCTCGTGGAAAGTGTTTGTCACTATGCGGACATGAGCCTGCACTTGGCCTCTGGTGCGGCCGCGTACCAGCCAGTCGTCCAAGTACGGGAACAGCTGTATCCCTTGTCGACGGAGGAAGGCCGCGACGACTGCCAGACACTTTGTGAACACCCTGGGAGCCGAGGACAAGCCGAAGGGAAGGACTGCGAATTGGTAGTGTACCCTGTTTACCACAAATCGCAGGAAACGTCTGTGGGGCGGATAAATTGCTATGTGAAAATAGGCGTCCTTCATGTCGAGGGCGGCGAACCAGTCTCCAGGATCCAGTGAAGGGATAATGGTCCCCAATGACACCATGCGGAACTTCAACTTTACTATGAATTTGTTGAGTCCGCGTAAGTCTAAGATGGGCCGTAGACCCCCTTTTGACTTGGGTATCAGGAAGTAGCGGGAGTAAAACCCCCTGCCCCTTAGCTCCGATGGAACCTCCTCTATGGCCCCCATAGCGAGGAGCCCAAGAACCTCCTGTGTAAGGAGTTGCTCGTGAGAAGGGTCCCTGAAGAGGGACGGGGAGGGGGAGTGGGAGGGGGGGGCGAGGAAAACTGGAGGGCGTATCCCCTCTCCACCGTGCGAAGGACCCAACGGTCCGAGGTTATAAGGGACCAAGCACGGTGGAAACGGGAGAGGCGGTCCCGGAAAGGGGGAGTCGGATCCTGGGTACCGGTCGTGGTGCCGTCCTCGACCGCACCTTCAAAAGGCTTGTCTAGGCCCAGAAGGTGGCCTAGGCTGGCCCTGGTTCTGACCGGGTTGAGGGCCGGTCGACCTTCGCCTACCACCTCGACCCCGCCTCCTAGCAAAGTCCTATCTTGGACGAGGCGGGGGAGGGTAGAACCGCTGAGGCTGGGGCCTGAAGGGTCTGCGCTGAGGCCCTGGGACATGCATCCCCAGGGAGCGCATCATTGTCCGAGAGTCTTTAAGATTTTGGAGCCTCGAGTCAGTTTTCTCTGAAAAGAGGCCCTGGCCCTCGAACGGTAGGTCCTGCAGGGTCTGCTGCAGTTCAGGTGGCAAGCCTGACACCTGGAGCCAGGAGATTCGGCGCATTGCTATCCCCGACGCCAGGGTCCTAGCGGCCGAGTCCGCTATATCAAGGGACGCCTGTAGGGAGGTGCATGCCACCCGCTTGCCCTCCTCTACCAAGGCCCCGAACTCTTCCCTCGAGTCCTGGGGAACCAGCTCTCTAAATTTCCCCATCGAGGACCACATATTGAAGCCATAGCGGCTCAGGAGCGCCTGCTGGTTCGCTGCCCGCAGTTGCAGTCCGCCAGCCGAATAGACCTTGCGTCCGAACAAATCGAAGCGCTTAGCGTCCTTCGATTTGGGCGCAGCAGCCTGCTGGCCATGTCGCTCCCGTGCATTGACTGATGAAACCACCAGTGAGCACGGTTGGGGGTGAGTGTACAAATACTCATGTTCCCTGGAAGGCACAAAGTACTTTCTCTCAACCCCTCTGGCCGTGGGCGGAATAGAGGCCGGGGTCTGCCAGATAGTGGTGGCGTTGGCCTGGATGGTGCGGATCAGCGGTAATGCCACCCTGGATGGAGCATCCGCTGAAATGATCTGCACGATAGGGTCATGGACCTCCGCAATCTCCTCCACCTGGAGGTCCATATTGCGAGCCATGCGACGCAGCAGGTCCTGGTGGGCCCGAAGGTCTATAGGAGGCGGCCCAATGGCGGACGTGCCCGCTACGGCCTCATCAGGCGAGGACGAGGAGGATGCCCCTGGTGGCAAGGGGTCCAATGGTTGGTCCTGCTCCAGGTGTTCCTGGGGTTGGGCATCGCCTGCCCCCTGGTCCAGGGCCTCTGCAGGTGCGGGCACTGGAGCCTCCACGTCCCTTGGAGGAGGGCGGGAGATGGTGGACTCTGGGGCCCTAGGCTCCGAACGGCCAGAGCGGGAGGCCGATAGGGGAGCTCCTTGTGCCTGGTGGTAGGCCCAAGGAGTCCAGAAGGACCAATGCGCAGGTCCTTGCATAGGGTCGTCGGTCTCCTGCAGGTGGCCGGCCTCCACTGCCTCAGATGACCGCGACGCCGATCTCGACGGCCACGGCGGTGCCGAACCCGATGCCGTCGGCACCGGATGGTACGGTGCCGATCGGTGCCGGCCGTAAGGCGATCTGTCCCTGTGCGGTGCCGGCGAACGGTGCCGGGACCTGGACCGGTGCCGATAGTCCCTCCGGTGCCGGGATCCCGATCTGGAACGGGACGACGATCTGGAGGAGGCGTGGTACCGGGAGCGGCCTCTCGAGCCCGAGTGGCGCTCATACCGGTGCCGGGAGCTGCGCCTCGACCCCGATCGGTGCCGGTCGTCGCGACGGTGCCGGGATGTTGAACGGCGCCGCGAAGAAGATCTGGGCCGCGAGTACGACCGGTGCCGAGGTGACATTCGGCGCCGGGACTCAGAGCGGCGTCGGGACCTGCTTCGGGATCTGGAGCGGTGCCGAGAGACTCGTGCTGGCGACGGTGGGCGCACCAGGGCAGGTTTCCCTCTGGACTGCAGCACACGTGGAGCCACCGGTGCCGGGAGTTGCGACGGCGCCGGCTCCGTGAGGGCGATCAGGTCTCTCGCCGTAGCGAAGGTCTCCGGGGTGGAAGGGAGACAAGGTTCCACCACCAGCCTTGGACTCAACGGACTCAACGGCCTCGGTGCCGGAGTCGACGGTGTGGCCGCCTGTCTTTGGCGGTCCAGCTGCGGACGCGGCTCTACCCCCGGCACCGGGGGGAGCCGGTATCTTCGCGGCAGCAACGTCCCGCGCCTTGCCGGCCTTCTTATGGCCCGGAGAAATGGATCGGTGCCGAGGTTCTTTAGGCGGGCGCGGTGCCGACGTCGGTCGGTGCCGAGCAGTCTTTTCCGCCGCACCGGTCGGGCCCGCCGGGGCGCTGCGCACCGAAGCGCTCGGTGCCGGGACAGGGCGCGCCGAGGGAGGATCCGGACTCAGAGCCGCCTCCATCAGGAGCTGTCGGAGTCTAAAGTCCCGCTCCTTTCTTGTCCTCGGCTTGAAGGCCTTGCAGATAGGGCACTTATCTGCTGGATGAGTCTCTCCAAGGCACTTCAAGCAAGAACTATGCGGGTCGCTGGTTGGCATATGCTTCCCGCAGGACGCGCACGGCTTAAAGCCAGGAGCCTTGGGCATGGGCCCGGCTGTGCGCCGGGGGGAAAAGGGGAAAAACACCCCCTAAACCCCCGATAACAATATACAACTATATATATACACAATACACTAACTAACTAACTAACTTGAAAACTATCTATATAACTAACTATAACAAGAACAATGAGAAGCTAGGGAGTGTGGAGATCAGCTAAGCCGCGCTCCACAGTTCCAACGACCGTCAGGGGCGGTAAGAAGGAACTGAGGGGGCGCTGGGTCGGCTGGGGTATATATCCAGCGCCATAACGGCGCCACTCTAGGGGGCTCCACAGCCGACCCACCGGGTGTTGCTAGGGTAAAAATCTTCCAACGATCGTGCACGCGGCGCGCACACACCTAACTGGAATGGATATGAGCAAGCACTCGAAGAAGAACCACTGCTTTTACAACTGATGTCAAAGAAACAAATAAATATTTTTAAAAAAGTAATTAAACTATAACTCTTACATCCTCAGCATTTGGGATTGTTGCAGAAACAGCCACAAATCTCATGGGTGTAAGCATGTCAGGATTCTCTGAGACACGTGAAAGAGAAGACTGTATCGTCTTCATCCGACTGACTACAACCTCAAGTGTTGCACCACGGCTTTCATCTTTCACAACATGTACCTATTAAAATAATTAAAGAAATCTGTGAAATAACATTGCGTACTTCTTGCATTCTAACCCACAAATATGTTAAAATAAATATATAACATTGTTATACTTCCTAAAAGTTTTCTTTTTCTTCATGTACAAACAGACTATAAAAATCACTACCTCGTCAATGAGGAACAGTCGTACCAGTTGGACTAAAGAGTTGTCTCTCCATTTTCTAGTCATGCTATCCCATTTTTCCTGGGGTGGGTGGGGGGGAAGAAGAGGCAGAAGAAATGATGAAAACAGATTCCAGAAGTAGTAGCAGAGACAGACCTTAAACACGATCAAATGTTTATGATTAAAAAAAATAAAAGTTCTGATGAGCTAATGCTATATATTTTGCATTTGACACATTATTATTTTATTATTAATTATTGTTTATATTGTACTCCTGAGGGCATTCTGCACCAAAACATTAAAATTTTATGCATAATATTTTAAAATTCGGCAAATTTTATTTGTCAAATAAATGTGGAGACTCTAGCATGTCATTGGGGAGCACAGGCCACTGGCTGCACAGAGATTGGAAATCACTGTGCAGCTCCCCCGACCCAGACATGGACTCAGCGGTGAGGCTGCACGCAACCTTGACACAATGCAAGGACCAGGCCTGCCCCAGAAACACCCCAGGGCCCTGCCCCTCCATGCCAGGTGCACCAGTTGTGGGCAGGCAGGCTCAGCAAGGCAGGATTCAAGTGTGGAGGGGCTTAGTGTGGGGGGATCCAGGTGTGGGTTGAGAGGGTTCTGGGTGCGGGAAGCTCAGTGGGGAATCTGGGTGTGGAGGGGATCTGGATTCATCGGGGCTTGTTGGGTTTTTTTGGGTGCAATGGTAACTGGACTCTGCAGGGGGTCGAGGTGAAGATGGTTGGGGTCTGGATGGGTCTCAGTGGGGGGGCAGATAATGGGGTAGTGGGACTCAGTGGGGTGGGGATCCAGGTGCAACTGGTTGGGGCTCAGTGGGGTGGGAATCTGGGTGCAGGTGGCTCGTCGTGGTGGTCCAGGTGCAGGGGGAGTGAGGCTAATCGGGGAAGGGGGGTTCTGAGTGCAGTGGGTGAGGCTCAGTGGGAGGGTCTGGGTCTGAGGGGTTCTGGATGCATGGGGGTTGGGCGGATGGGCGAGCAGCTACCTGTACAGGGATTCCTCCCGCTGCAGTTGAGGAACGATGGTTGCATAAAGTAGGAGGGGGAGTTTGCAGAGCTTCCTGCAGCCAGGGGATAAATCTGGGGGTGAGTCTGACCCGGCCCCGGATGCCATGCAAGGGAAGAGGAAGTCCCATCTTCCCCAGCCCAGCCCGGACTAGCAGCTGAGCCTGGCACAGGGTAGGAGCCACCAGCCAGGTCTTCCCCAGTCCTGCCTCATAGTGATTTACCTCTCTGCCTGCTGCCCTGGGCACCCGAAACATACTGCTGGGGAGAGTTGCATGACCGCTTTTGTGGCTTCCCTTTGCTTCCCTGTCAGAAAGTCATTTTTCTGCGGGGAAACAAAGAAATCTGTGGGGGTCATAAATTTTGCATGTGCGCAGTGGCACAGAATTCCCCCAGGACAAATATAGCACTAAAAGTATGCATGGCAGTTTACAGGCAAGTAAAATGACCTTACAATTATACTGAAAGTTTCCAATCTCTATAAAACAAGGGGAAGCCCCGGAAGCATACATACATTAGCTAGACTACATGCAGCAAATTATTTCTATAATACATTTTTCTTCAGATTTTTGGTTTAGAAAAAGATCAATAAAACAAATAGCAAGTTATATATGAAACCTACTGGTGTGGTCATAATAATGTGAGCATGCTGTATTTCAAATAAATCATCCATCACTGTATCTCCTGTCAGTTCTTTACAGCTGAGCCCTATAGGTCCAAATTTATCTTTCCAATCATCAAAACGCTGACTGCACAGAGCTTTTATTGGAGCCACTAAAAATAATACAAAATTGAGGGATTACGCTGAGAAAAGTAAAGGATTTTAAAACAAAACATCAAATGTATTGCTTAAGCTGCTAAATGCCTGAGTTTTGGGGGAAAAATTCTTGAGCAAAGCTAAAACCAGAAGAATTAACATGTATATTAAAATTTACCCATTGAGTTAATGATGGCATTACTCTCTTCTGTCTACAGCAGTTCTGATCTCTGGGCTATAGTTCTTTCCTGCCCACAAAGAGAGACAAAAGACTTGAACATCCCTCTGGAACACGTCTCTTTATACCAAAATGCCTAGTGCCCTCTCATAATCCTCGGCTGTTTTCTGACTCCCACAGAAGAACAAACACCCAGCTGACAGAGCCAGACTCTCACACAAACACAAGAAAACACAGGAAAAGCACTCCTAGCAGCCACATAATAGATTAATATACAAAGGACAACCTCACTCCAAATTACAGCTTGATTTTTCTGGGGCACTCTTTAATACACACATAGGAAGAGCCTTCATAATAGAAAACATGATCCACAACTGCAGAGTTAGAGTCAGTTTCCAGTAGGATCCCATCTAGACTCAGTACAGAACTATTTGTAATCATGGGGGTGTAGGGAAGCAAGCCTTGAAGTCATCATCAGGCACAGATTCATACAATGAGTCTTCTGCAACACTGACATTTTTCCTGAGGATGTCAACACAAATCATACCTTCCCTAGGTGGTGGCTCATTTCTAAAATATCAAAAAAGAAATGTCCCTGATTCCCCACACTGACATACAAGTAGCAACAGATACAAGCCTTTAGGGATGGGTAGCTCATATAGAAAATGCCGTGCCTCAGGACCTTTAACCAGTGAAAGATGTGATCCATCAATGACATTGAAGCAGGAATAATAAAGTTTGTCCTGTTGCAACTGCATTCTAGGCTAGGTAGTCAGAGTCCAGTTGGAAAAAAGCAACTACAACAGTATACATCAACTGGCAAGGCAGGGGAGAGGGAAGGGGGGAAGCAAGTACCAGGAGTAAAGCTGTTCAGATAAATCAATTTCCTGATTCAGTGGTCAGCATGTCAGTCGTCTGCATTGCTAGGAAATCACTACCACCAAATTCTGGTTAAGCCACAAGCAAATAAATCCAGGAAAATCTTGGGTTATCAGTAACAATTTTGAGGGGCAGTTTCTCCATCCTTCCCAAGTCTAGGAGGTGGGAAATGGGTGGGGGGGGGAGATAAGGAGCCACCAGTGGCCCCCTAGTCCTCAGCCACCCAGACCCAGAGGCATCCTCAGTTAAAGTAGAGGGGAACAACTCCCTCACAGATCTTATGCCCCTGACATGTCCACTCTCTCTCTTTATGCCCCGGTGCAGAAGGCGGTAGAACTATCTCCACCAGCAGAGAACTCCCTTCTCCACAGTTTAAATCCACTTTGCACTGATTGGGACAAGAAAAGGTCCTTTGATAAAGAACAATATCATAACTCTAAACTTCAAGTGATCTGTCTCCATCTGCTGTCAGCAAGGAACTGTAATACACGTGTCTAAAAAAGTACTAAATTTGTGGTTTGCAATGTTGTTGCAGCTTTGTTGGTCCCAAGATATTAGAGAAAGAAGGTGGGTGAGATAATATCTTTTATTGGACCATCTTCTGTTGGTGACAGAGGCAGCTTTCAAGCTTACACAGAGCTCTTAAATCTGAAGAAGAGCTCTGTGTGAATTCGAAAGCTTGTCTTTCTCACCAACAGAAATTGGTCCAATAAAAGATATTACCTCAACCAACTAAGCTAGTAACCTTTGTAAATGCAAAGTTGACCATTTAACATAAGACTACCAAATATGTTGAATTGTGCCAAACTGCATGTGGCTTTACAATGTGGACAAATCAAGGGTAGGGGAAAAAGTCACCAGTCTCATTTGATCTACATGAAGATACAAAATTCCTTTCTCCAAAAATAAAAACAGAATGACAGATCAAGAGATGTCATTACCTTCAAATATACTAATTATATTTTATTTTTGTTATAATTAAATCAATGCAGATTTAATTTAACCTTGCCTGCTTTGTCCTGTAGATTAGATAAGAAGAAATGGTTAATGGGAAGGCCATGTCGTGGTCCAGTGGACAGACCAATGGACTAGGATTCAGAAGACCTTGATTCTATTCCAGGTTGCAGCACTGAGCAAAGCATTCCCAGTGCCTCTGTTTCTTCACAGCCTTTCTCTGTTCAGGCTATAAGCTCTTCAGGGCAGGGACAGTCTTTTACTATGTGTACAGGCCGAGCCTAATAAATGGTTCCCAATCTCACTTATGCAATACAAAGATTAATAATAATAATAATAATAATAATAATAGTTGTCACGGTAATACAAATACATGATTATAACAACAACCCCGATACAATACATACGTTTTGTGAAGTAGGCCTCACTTAGTTGTCATCACGTATTTAAGTTCAAGCTTATTAAAGATAACCATTAAGTGTACATAGAAAATTATTTCAACTTTTACATTTTGTTATCATTGCTACTAGCTAATAATTGTTTAAAATTAGCATAATACTCACTATAGACAATTTTAATATTTAACCAAGGCATCGGCACTTCCATTAGTAACCTTGTAATAGCTAGTTCGAACATTACAGTTTTTCCAGAACCAGTCGGAGCACAAATCACAAAATTCCTATCTGTGTAAAGAATCTAGGAAAGAATTAGAAAGCAGTAAATATAATGAAGCTATTCAAATGTACCTATTCATTCATTCTGACAGAACTGTGAAGGAAAAAAATTACACAGGAGGGATTATTAAATTGATATATGTACCAGTGAACGACTGCTGGTATGACACAACATGTTTTTTCTAAAGATTAGATACTTTGTATTAGATGAGAACTTAAATAAATGGCAAAAGAATAAAGAATGTCTTTTTCTATGCTTAGCTACCATTGAAATATTTATTAAAGAGATACCATACAACTATAACTATGATGTAGTGATGTACTGTCGTCACAAACACAGAAATGCCAGTCTCTAGATTCAAATTACTGCTGTACAAATAGACCACTGTCAATGTGCAACTATTAGCAAAGAGAGGTTCATTATAAAGTTGTATTAATTTTGCTGTTACAAAAATTTCAAAGACATTCCTGTAGTCATCTTTTTATAATTTCTGTATCTATTAATGCCAATACTGGTAAAAAGATCACTTTAACAGAATTCTGAGTTTTAAACAACTTTTATGGAGAAAAATATTATAAAAACAAAATAAGTAAACATAGTTCCCTATTTAGGCACATATTAATTTAAAATATTAAAATAAAGTTTCTCAGCAGACTCATTCAGTTTACTTGAATCAAGGAAAATAGTTACCTTTTTGCTGCTGAAAATTAATGTTGGAAAACTTGCTTGCTATTTTTATATTAGGGAGTTGCACACTTTGTTGCTTCCATAGAACAAGCTCATTACATTCACCAGGAACTCTTGTATCCCTACCTCCTCCCCCACAAGCTCCCTGTATGCCACCCTCACATCCCCTTCTATTTTAGGGACTCGCTGAACCTCCCCATCCCCCTCCTTCTTGCCGTGGCCTCTACGTGTTCCCGATTCTCTTCCCTACCAGAGATGCATGCCCCACATCTCTCACTACGAGCACTGTATGCACCCTCAGTCCCCCTATTACTCATTCCCCCACATTCTCCTCCCACCAGGGATTCTGTGTGCCCCCATTTCTCCCACCCCAGTGGCTCTTTGTGCACCCCCCATTCCAGGTTCCCTCATTTTACCCCTCCCCCATGCCTGGGATTTTGCATGTATCACCACTCCATCCTTTCTCCCATGTCTCCCCATTTTCCTTCCCCCCCAACATTCTTATTCTCCTTTTCTTTATCTTACAGGGTGTCAACATTTTAAAATTGTACAGTAACTCCTCACTTAACGTTGTAGTTATGTTCCTGAAAAATGAGACTTTAAGTGAAACAATGTTAAGCGAATACAATTTCCCCATAAGAATGGAGTTCTTTAGTTCTAAGAGGTATTTTAGCACTAGTGATAGTGGTGTAGTATTGGGAGTGAATTGTTTTTCTGACTCCATATGGAGAATCTTTTCCATTTTTGTAGGTAAGTATTGTGTGTGGATGTATGTCTGCTGTTCAATAACATATGTTTGACTTGCTCCGAACAGTTTAATTCGTGTTGCTGGAACCATGAAGGAGCCATGCTTTCAGATGGAGTTTCTCCAAGTTTGGATGGAGGATCTGACCATTGCCATTTGAGAGGAGATCTGATCTCAACAGGAGAGTTCATGGAGTGCAAACTGTCATGCACATTCATGGAGTGCAAACTGTCATGCACATCAGGTAAGGATACCAGGACTGTCTGGGCCACACTGAGGCTATCAGTATCATTTTGGCATTGTCGTTCTGAATCTTGTGTAGGACTCTGGGGATTAACGGAATTGGTGGGAATGTATATAGAAGCACTATGTTCCATGTGAGGAAGGCATCCCCTAAGAATTGAGGGCCTAATCCTGCTCTTGACCAGAATAGTGAACATCTGTGAGTCTGTGATGTTGCAAATAGGCTGATGGTGGGAAAACCCCATCATTGGAATATATGTTGTAGGACTGTGGGATTTATTTCCCATTCATGTTTCTGGGAGAACTGTCTGCTTAGTGTCCCCTGTGCTATTTTGACATCTGGGAAGGTAGGAGGCTGAGATGTCAATGTGGTGATGAATGCACCAGTTGCATAGTTTTATGGCCTCAGTACAAAGGAAATGGAATTGCACTTCCCCTTGTCGATTGATGTAGAACATGCATGTGATATTGTCTGTCATCACCTGTACTGTCTTGTTCTTTATGAACTGAAGGAAATGGAGGATGGTGTTCCGTACTGCTCTCAGTTCTAGTAAGTTGATGTGGAGATGTCTCTCCATTGCTGACCATCTGCCTTGGATTGCATGATGATCCAGGTGTGCACCCTAACCTATCAGTGAGGTGTCTGTTGTGATAATTATTGAGGGAGGTTCTTGATAAAAGGGGATCCCTGAGCAGAGATTCTCCTGCTTTGTTCACCACTGAAGGGATTCTAGGACTCTGGCAGGTGGTGGTAAGGTCTTGTTCAGGCTGTGTTTGTATAGTGAACTCAGCCAGCCTTGGAGACAGTGCATATGTAATCTGGCATGCTTTACCACAAATGTGGTGGCTGCCATATGTCCTAGCAGCTGTAGACAGGTTCTTGCTGTGATTCAAGGAGCGGTGTAAACTATCTCTATGAGATTTCTTTATCGCCAGAAATCTGTTCTGTAGGAGAGATGCTTTGGCTTGAACTGAATCGAGGGGTTCTCCAATGAAGTCTAGTTGTTGTGTGCGCATCAATGTCGATTTTTGTATGTTTAATTGCAGCCCTAGTGTTTGGAAGAGGGCAGAAGTCCATTGGGTAATTTCTGCCATCGCTATCTGAGTGGGGCCTTACAGGAGGCAGTTGTCTAGAAACAGGAAAAACATGATCCCTTGCTTACGCAGGTGCACTGCGATGACCACAAGTGGTTTGGAGCAGTGCAGTGCAGTGGACAGGCTGAATGTGAGCACCCTATATTGTTAGTGCTCGTGTCCTACTGTAAAGTGGAGGAATTGTCTGTGTGCTGGGTGTATGGTAGTGTGGAAATACATGTCTTCTAGATTGAGGGCTGAAAACCAGTTCCCCTGTTCCAGCGCTGGAATTATTGTGCCTAATGTGACCATCTTGAATTTCTGGGAGCGGATGAACTTGTAGAGTTTTTGTAGGTCTAGTATGGGTCGCCATCCTGTTTTTCTTTTGGGTCAAAAAATAGTGGGAATAGAAGCTTTTCCCTCTGTATTGCGGATGTAAGCAGAGTCAGGATGAGCTCTACCCTGATATCTGGTGGTGAATTATGGCGAGTGTGGAAAAGAACTCCAGGGGCTAATCTTGTTTGCATAGGCACACCCACTCGCCTGGCATGAAACAACAGCAACTGAAAGTGGTTACTTTGGCTGGTGTGGGATCCCCAGTTTTTCTGTTATTGGGGCAGGAAGAATAAAGTTTTGTTACCCTGATTCTGTGAATCAAGGCCAGTGGAACTGTTGTATGACAGAAGGACTGAGTGAGTCCTTCACCATTACCTAAGTAGCAATTGCTTGACAAGGGGCATGGGTTACAAAACCCAGTGAATTGAGAGAGGACGGGGACAGGTATTTTTACCTGATGGTATGGGCCCCCTCTGAGGGTTTGAAACACCAGTTGCACCACCTCCTCTCTCCACTGTTGAATGTCAGAGCTAACTTTGATTCCATTAGGAGTCTAGTTACAGGCTGCTGAGCTGAATTCACTTCAGGCCAATGGTGCACCAGCACTGGGGCTCCCCTACTATATGAGCTGAAATCACAAAAGAGCTGAAATCACAAAAGAGCTAAAGTTATTAAGAGCTGAGATCACTGAGTGCTGTGTTAACTAGTGGGGGAGCCTGAAGCTATATTGTTCAGCAGCTGGCGGAGCAATTTGTGGGGACGACTGGAGGAGCAGCGAGCGGTTGCGCGGAGCCTTGCGGGGGCGGTTGGAGTGGCCCAAAGAATGGCGAGCAGAGCTGTTTGCGGGGACGGCTGGAACGGCTCACAGGTCGGTGAGCGGAGCGGAATGGGGTGGAGCGGAGCAGCTTGTAGAGCGGAGCAGTGCGTGGGATGGCAGGAAAGTGGACTGGCTCGTGGTGAAGGCTGCGGCGGAACCCCCACGGAGAAACAGACGGCTGGCCAGCCTCGGATCACGTAAGGTGCCCCTTAACACCCTGCGTGCCCCCCCTTTTACTCTGGGGCTGCACTGACCAGGGGCAGAGACTTTGGGGGTTGTTGGACTTTTGGGACTTTGGGTGGTTGCTGGGCCCAAGAGACTTTGGGGGTGTTGGACTTTGGGGACTCTGGGTGATTTTTGGGTTGCTGGATTCAAGAACCAAAGGGAAAGGACACAGCCCAATTTGCTGGGGTGGGTTTTGCTCATGGTTTGTGTTGTGAATCCTGTTGGTGGTGTTTTCCCAATTTTATGCTGATGTCGTTTACCTCATGTTATTAAACATTTTCTGCTACACTCAGACTCCGTGCTTGCGAGAGGGGAAGTATTGCCTCTTAGAGGTACCCAGGGGGTGGTATGTAATTGTCCCAGGTCACTGGGTGGGGGCTCGAGCCGGTTTTGCATTGCGTTATTGAAACGGAACCCCTAGATACAGAACCCGGCCCTTGTTGCTGCCAACTTAGATGGGCAGAAGGGTTACACGTAGGTACTGGTTCCACAGCACCTAGTTGCAGTAGATGATTTACTTCCTGCCTTAAGAGGTGCCCATGAGAAGGGTCACTGAAGAGGGATGGGGAAGGGGATAGAGTAGGTAGGCAAGAAATAAAGGGGATGGCAGAGCCCAATCTTATGATCTCTAGGACCCAACGGTCCTTTGTGGTGGACTTCCATGCTTGGTAAAAAGGTCTCAGCCGATGTCCAAATGGGCAAAGTGGCGCTGTCTTGAGGTCATTCAGACCCTCAACCAACCATTCAAAATTGCTGTTTATTAGGCGGCGGTTGTGACACCACTGGTTGGGGTTGTGATAGTTGACGTCTTTGTGGTCTGTTTCTCTATCTGTTCGTTTCATAAGGTCTGGGATTCTGTCGATTAAATGGTGTGTCCCTAAAACGGTGATAAGGTTGGTAACGCTTTCTTTTAGCAAATGGTGTATAAATGCCCAGCCTGCAATGTGTCGCACATAAGTCTTTCACGAAGTGTAGCACCTCATCGATCTTAGATGAGAATAGTTTTTCTTTGTCAAAGCAGAGGTCTTCCACCTTGAGTTGCAGTTCTTTTGGGATGCCAGAAGACAGGAGCCAAGGGACTCTGCACATTACAATTGCTGTGGCTGTGGTATGCACTGCCATATCAGCAACGTCCAGGGAAGCCTGTAAGGCAGTGATGGCCACCAACTGTCCTTCAGTTAGTAAGGTCTTGAATTGTGTTTGTCCTCGGGAAGGTCATTTGTGAGCTCGAATAGCTTCCCATAGTTGTCGTGGTCATACTTTGCCAGGAGGGCGCTGTAGTTAGCGACCCTAAATTGAAAAGTGGACAATGTGTAGACCTTCCTTCCTAGGAGGTCCTTATGGAGAGGTGTGGATTTAGAGTGAGGCTGTTTGGATCAATGGTTTGCTGTGTCAACTACCAGTGAGTTTGGTGGCAAGTGGGAAAAGAGAAAGTCCATTCCTTTGGCTAGCACATATTTTCTATTGGCCCTTTTGCATGCAGGCAAGATAGTGGCTGGCGTCTGCCACACTGTTTCGGCAGGTTCCAGAATGGCCTCATTTACTGGGAGTGCAATTTTTGAAGACAAGGTTTGCAAAATGTCAAGCAATTTATGCTGATTTTCTTGGACTTCTTCCAATGGGTATGTCCTGGCTCAGCGCAATTCTCTTAAACAGTTCTTGAAACTGTTTAAAATCATCCATCATTGTAGGTGGAGGTGGCATAATGGCCTCATCAGGAGATGAAGAAGAGTTGTGAGTTGGTGGTACATTTTCTTGACCTGTTTCTTCTTCAAGCTCCTCTGCTATATCCTCTGGGGCAATGGATGTAATCACTGGGGATAGGGGAGGAGACCCAAGTTCACCTTGGGTGGCAATAAGGTTCTGGTATAGTGGGCTCTATATTCTGCCCATGGGTCCCACAACCCTGGATGTGTCCCCTCATGGCCACTGCATGGGGAATGCCATGAGGGGACACATCCAGGGTTGTCCATACCATGGGTGAGTGGGCTATGATGGCTACAGTGTTCCTCCAATTGGTCTGTGGTGAGTAGGAGTGCAGTGCTGTCCTGATCCTCATCCGCCCTGTCACTTGGTACCGACGGTGCCATGGGAGACATGGGCTGTACAGTGATGCTTCATGGGGGAGTTCCATTGGTGCCGAGAAGTGGTGACAGGGGTACCAAAGATATCGAAATATCCCTCTGTGTGAGGAATTGCTGTGGTGCTGATGGAGCAGTGTTCCCTCTAATTTTCCCCACACATGTGCGGAATGAATTGGTGCACATAACAAAATTCATGTGGTGGGGGTGGGGCCGAGGGGTTCAGAGTGTGAGAGGGGGCTCAAAGCTGGGGAAGAGGGTTGGGGTGCAGGGCTGTGAGGGGTCCAGCTGGGGGTGTGGGCTCTGGGGTGGGGCCGGGGATGAGGGGTTTGGGGTGCAGGCTGCCCTGGGGCTACGGCAGGGAGAGAGGACTCCCCCCAGCACTCTCTCCCCGCAGAAGCACCTGGGCTCTGGGGGGTGGGGGGGGAGAGGTGCGTCTCCCCGTCGCGGCAGTTCTGGGGCTGGGCTGCGGGATAGGTGCCCCTCCCCCAACTGCGGCAGGTCCAGGTTGGATTCAGGCCAAGGTAGGGGCACCCTTCCCCTGGCCATGGCAGGTCTGGGACTGGGCTGGGTTCGGGCTGTGGGAGGGGCTCCCACCCCCTGGCCGCAGCAAGTCCGGGGCTGGGTTGGGGCAGGGGGAGGGGCACTCCTCCCCTGGCCACGGCAGATTCCAAGCGGGCGGGCTCCCTGAGTGCCTATGTGGTGCTTAATAGGCTGCTGCACGGCCACGTGGGTTACAGGGAACTTAGCGATGGTGGTGGTGCCAAAGGTCCCGATGATGTTGTTTTTGTAGGAGCTAAATAATGTGCAACTGCTTTGTGGCTCACCTTTGTCGGTACCGGCAGTCCCATTGTGGTTATATCAGTCGGTGGTGCCGGAAATGGTGGTGCCAACGAAGTCAGTGGTGCTGAGTTCGTTGTCAGTGCCATAGGTGGTGGCATGATCGGTGCCGGTGCCGATTCCCATGCTGACATAGTTGGTGCCATGGAGGAGGCTTGGCTATGTCTATGCCTTGCCTCCATTTCTTTTGCTTTGGGCTCGGCCGTACGGCCTGTGCCAAAGGTACCAGGCGAGTCGAAAGTGCTGACTTGAGAGGTGATTGGCACTGAAGGTAACGATCTCGCAGAGGACAGTTTCTTTTTATGTGGTTCCCTCTGCAGAGAGGTTGACAGTCGCTTCCTCTTTTCTTTAGAGGATCGAGCCGTGCTCTTCATCAGTTCTGACCTGGTCAGAGAGCCTTTAGAGAGGGGCTTTTGGTGGCCCATTTCTGGGCTTGGTAGTAATGATTTCTCCATTAAGATCATCTTGAGGCGAAGGTCCCAGTTGCACCAGGCTCTCACCTTCAGGTTGTTGCAGCGAACGCACTATGGGGGTATGTGTGATTCATCAAGACATCTCACACACCGCGAGTGTCTGTCTGATCTCAGCATCACTTTGCGGCAGGAGCTGCATCTTTTAAAGCCTGGGGGAACCAGGCATGCTTCAGAGAGTGCTCCAAAAAGGAGCAAGGAAACAGGAAAATAATTTTTTTTTTAAACTATAAACCAACTTATCTAAGGTATCTAACTAGTTTTTCTCTTTATTCTATCTACAGGGGAAGAAGTTGACACACTGCCCCTAGTTCAGTCTTCAGCTGAGGACGGTTGAGAAGGAACTGAAGGGGTCGGGCCGTGCACATGCTAGACAAGACTCCAACGGCACCGCAAGACAGCTTCTGTGCACGCGCATCCTGACCGAACACTGCTACCAAAAATCTCCAATCAACGGTACTGGGATGCACCGACACCTTAAGTGGAGCACCCACAGGGACAGCACTCTAAGAACTAGTGGAAGGTTGCATAAAAACCACTGACTTCAATCCAATGGGAGTACTGTCTGCAGAATAATGGCAGAGTATGGCCACAAGCAAAGTTGATTTTCATGAAAGTTATAAGAAAAAAATTGTGCAATGTATCTTGTAGGTACTCATTAGATAAACCCTTGTTAATTAATACTGGGTCTCTTACTGAGCAATGGGGCATCTAACTAGTATGGATAAAATAGACATGCACTTCAAAAAGAGAAGAAAAAAAAAACCGGGGAAAGAGATTGCAAATGTAAAAAGAATACCAATCCACATGATTTTAAAGGTTCACATGTTAAGGCCTCTACGAGTACGGACTCACCCCTGCGGCGCCTCCTGCTGGTGACTTCCGGGAATTAGCTCGTTCCAGCTCCGGAGCGCCCTCTGCAGGCCGGTGATCCGCCTGTCCTCTGGCCCCAGTGTCCCTCCCTGGACCCCGGTGCCCTTTTACCTGGGGTGCTGCCCCCTGGCAGTAACCCCGCAGTCTTAGGGTCTCCCTTCCTCGGGGAACCCCCACCCACTATTCCCACCTCGCCTCAGTATAAGGCTACTGCCAGTCATCGTCTAGCCCCATGCCCTGGGGCAGACTGCAGTATCAGCCTACTCATCACTGGCAAGGAGGGTTTGGACTTGCTGCCTTGGCCTACCCCTGGGCTGCCCTCTGCAACCCCTAGTATCCCTTGGTCTTCTGCTAGGCTGCAGCCTGGGGCTTTCCAGGCTGGAGCTCCCCCAGCTCCTCAGCCTTTCCCCAGCCCTGATCCACTCAGGTACCCTGTCTCTAGCTCCCTGCAGCCAGGTCCCTCCCTCTCAGAAGCTAGAGGGAGTCTGTTGAGCTCCTGGCTCCCAGTCTCTTATATAGGGCCAGCTGAGGCCTGACTGGGACGTGGCCCAGCTGTGGCTACTTCTCCAATCAGCCTAGTAGCTTTTCCTTTGCCCCAGCCCTCTGCCAGGGCTGTTTTAAGCCCTTCCGGGCAGGAGCGGGGCACCACCCCGCTACAAGGCCCCAGGGAGTTTAAATGTAATATTAGTGTTTGCACGGCAAAACAATCATATCAGCTTCTCTGCAGAAAATGTTAACTAATGGATATGAGGCTTGCATGGCCATCCCCAAAGGCCCCAATCCATTTTATAGCATATGCTTAAAATGCTCACTGAATTGGACTTAAATCTCCAATACAAACCCCTCTGCTCATTTTAACCACAAGATTGCAACACCTGTAATAGTGTCTTCCTCTGCTGGAAGGACAGTTGCTTCAATGTAGGGTCTTGAGGTTTGGAGAATAAAAGCAGGGAAAAATTGGAAAATCCTCAAGACTCCCTAAATGATGAAGAACCCTAGATGTAGGATAAGAAAGTCTTTCCTAAAAGACTGTCTTCCCTGCGACATAACTGTGTTATTGACTTCACAAATTTTAATTTCAAAATTTGATTACATTTGTTCTGGAAAAAAACATTCTTATGAGTCCACATGTGAAACAGCTATGCAAATCACAATTTACAATAATATTATATTCAAAATGGATAAAGAAATTTAATCCTGGACCTTTTTCTAGATGAGCTGCATTACTGTTCTGCTTACCTGCTCCTGAAATGTGTACTGCTGCACTACTCTGTACCTCACTAATGATTTATCAATAACACTTGTAAATAACAAAATGGCACTTCAATTTATTTAACATATTTAATATATTAAATACAATCTGCAAACATAATTAAGAAATATTCTTTACTTACATCATCCAAAGCCGCGGACTGTATGTAGTTAAAATATGGGAATTCCTTGAAAATATTTCTAAACTGAGCAGCTTAAGATCATATTCAAACCATTCAGTTAAGAATATAAAACATATCTTTCTTTTCTTTTAACTGAAAATAATAGCTGCTTTATTAAAACCTAAATAAAGAATTTCCACTTATGCAAACATGTCAGGTGGTTCCCAAAATGTAACTCAAATGATTTGATGGTTTCAGTTCAATTCCTTGTGGACAGGAGTCCAATTTACAAAACCCCCACATTAGTAACTTTTAGGAATGTATTGGCAGTTTTAGGAGAGACTAAGATCTAAAAGAAAAATGAAATAATCCTTAGAGGTCGTCCCTCTGAAGAGAGACGGAAACTCTTTTACTCCACAAAACATGTATAGCAGGGTGAAGCAGAGCATTCATTGCCTGTGCATGCCTGCTCTGTGAAGAGACAGAGCAAAAGCACACTTCAGATTCAAAAGCATTAAATTGATTAACATTTTTTAAAAACAAGGTTTCAAAACTTTTACTTCACATTTATTTTTTAAACATACATAAACATAAATGAATGTCATGCTGTTTTCTTCATTCTGTATATGTAGCTTTATGCTTCTTTACTTTTCTCCACAAAACACATATGTACACACACACAAAAGAGGGGAGGTTGCCCAGAAAAGCCAAGGGGGGCAAAAGTGCAAGGACGCATAGGTACTGTCCAATTAAAAAATAAACAGATGTAGTGGGGTTCAAATATAGTTTCTTAAAACTAACAGCAATTTTAAATATTTTTGCTCAACTCCGATTAGTATATTCAGCACTGGTATTGTTGTTGTATATTTTCAAACAACAAAAATAACAGGTTTAGTTTTTTCAATATGGTTTTTATTCTGAGAACTAGCTGAAGGAAAATACCAAAGAAGAAAAGGAAACATCAATCAATATGTAAGAGTAATCAAAGACAGAGTAAAGAAGAGTAAGTAATGCTGATTGAGTGTTTAGGAAAATGAGGGCCAAGATTTTAAAAAATGGGTACCTAAGGTTATGTAACAACCTGCTTGTAAAAGAGCTCAACATCCAGCAGCTTTCACTTACATCATTAGATCCACTGACACCTCAGTGCTTTTGAAGTCTGGACACTTAGTTGCCTAAATATGGATTTGAGAAGCCTAATTTTAGGCGCCATTTTTGAAAATGTTTAGCCTAGGAGTGTGTCAGAGGATTAGAAAACAAATATTAAAGAACCAAAGATGGCAAATGTGAAACACATCCATATGCTAATTCACTTCAGCTTTATTTGAAGTTTTATATTTGAATTAGGTAAGTACCTGTATTTTATATTGATATTTTAAATGTATCATTTTTATAAACAAGTATGAGTACATGATCTAAGAATAAATTGCTTAGGCAATGAATGATTAATTATTATTCCATTGTCCTATTTTCACTATGTTTTAGAGGTACCAAGCATAAAGAATATTTTACCCTTTGATTCTCAGATTTTGTTGGGAATCAGAAGTAATACTGTAAAATACATGTTTTATGTTTTAGATGTAAGCCAGTTACAGTAAGTAAAAGGATACGGATTTCTGTAACAGCCCTCAAAAACCCCAAATCTTTTTTTACAGTTCCTAAAGAAACAAAAACAGATTTATAAAAACTGACACTGTTTTCTACCAATAACCTTTAAACATTATTTTCCTAAATCTTATATATGCATCCTTTGGAGAGTTACAGGCTTGTAATTGGGCATAGGGTGATATGGGAGGATTTGACAGCTGGGGGGGGGGGGGAGGTCATGGGCTTGTCACTAGGAGAGATCTGTACAGGTTTCCACAGCTTGGGAGTAACAGGAAGGTCACATACTTGTCATGGAGGGTTTAGCAGTAGGGAGACAGGTTAGTCACTTGTTACTGTTACTGCATTCCCCTTAACATCCTTTATTGATTATAGCTCATTTTGTCTTTGCTTTTTGAATTTGTCATTCCTATCACATTATATTGCACTCTGTTATTTCTTTTGTGCATTTTTATAAGATTTCCTTTTAATTTACAGGCCTTTAAAAATGTCCCTGATGCAACCACAATAGGTCATTTATTTATTTTCCTAGGTTTCCTTTACATAAGGATTTAACGTTTTACTATGTCTTGAGTATTATGCCCTTCCAAAACTTTCAACTATCCTACATTTCACGTCCCCCTGAGGGGCCGGGACCCCCCAGTTTGAGAACCCCTGCTTTAGAGCCTACAAGTCCACTCAGTTCTGCTTCTTGTTCAGCCAATCGTTAAACAAACAACTTTGTTTACATTTACTGGAAAAAATGCTGTCCACTTCTTATTTACAATGTCACTAGAAAGTGAGAACAGGCATTTGCATGGGTCTTTTGTAGCTGGCATTGCAAGGTATTTACTTGCCGAATATGCTAAACATTCGTATGCCCCTTCATGCTTCGGCCACCATTCCAGAGGACATGCTTCCATGCTGATGACGCCCGTTAAAAAAATAATGCGTTAATTAAATTTGTGACTGAACTCCTTGGGGGAGAACTATATGTCTCCAGCTGTGTTTTACCCGCATTTTGCCATATATTTCATGTTATAGTAGTCTCAGATGATGACTCACCACGTTGTTCATTTTAAGGACACTTTCGCTGCAGATCTGACAGAACCCAAAGAAGGTACCAATGTGAGATTTCTAAAGATAGCTTCTGCACTCGACACAAGGTTTAAGAATCTGAAGTGCCTTCCAAAATCTGAGATGGATGAGATGTGGAGCATGTTTTCAGAAGTCTTAAAAGAGCAACACCCCGATGCAGGAACTACAGAACCCAGATCACCAGAAAAGAAAATCAACCTTCTGCTGGTGGCATTTGACTCAGATAATGAAAATGAACGTGCATCAGTCCACATTGCTTAGGACTGTTATCAAGCAGAACCTGTGTCAAGGCTGGATCCCCACTTTGAACTTTAGGGTTCAAATGTAGGG